TAGTAAATGCACTTTGTTTCAACACAAACATATTTATCACAGGACAGGCGAAGTGCCCTAAAGTACCTAATTCTCAATTGGTAACTACCAAAGCTAAATCCTATTCATACCAGCGTTTGCTAAACCATACATACCAGTGGTCTGACCGGAAACCCTCCTATTGGAGCTCAAACCGGTATAGGATTTTACCGGTATGAAACGGTTGAACCATTGGTTAAACACAAAATACTCTACCACTGACTTATCCGGTACAACATCCGGTACGGGTTTACAGTTCTTGTTAAAACATCAACAACTATCCAAGAAAATGCTCCCAAACTGCTCAAAGACTAGATGCCTACCAAAAATAGAATACCAAACAACAGTGCCGACAGTCAGCTGGCATTCAAATTTCATACTCCAAATTGTAAAATGAAATACAGCCAATCAAGCAAAAAAGACAATCATTTGAAACATACATATAACTTACCTCCCCTCTTTCCCTGCCATCAGTACCTTCTAGATCCATCCCAAGCGTAAATGGCTCGATGCCAACACACTTGGCCATCCAGATGCCTTTCGTTGTTTGACCCCTGATACCAAATTAGTCATTTTCCCACGTTAAGGAAACTGAGTTGCAAAGAAATAAAAACAAAGATAGCCAGAATAACTGGAACAAATAAAAAAGACTTAGCCGAGGTTAAAATTTAAACAAAATTATCAATGCGAACCTTCCCCTGAAGGCATCCATTTCCCTGAAATTGGTATGGAAAAGATGATTCATCAGGGTACTTTTGCCTGCTCAAACGCCAAAAAACGGAAAAGTATCAGTTAAAGCACAGATCTTGATCGAATGTAAATCTGAACAAGCTGCAATAATCGCCAAAAACCAATCAAATACATGGGGTGGACGAGATTGCAACATGATCTTGATTGATGAAAGTAAATGGGATTCAGATGAACCAAAAAAAGCTAAATTGAGCCAGGGAGGGAGCAAAATCAGGCTCCGTTTCAAGTAAAACAAAGCAATTGCAGCCCATATACCGGATCAAGGTGAAACTAGAAAGTTAGCAGAGAACAACATACCGCTGCTCTGGGGGCCCATGATTGCGACGACGGCGTAGGAGAGACCGCAGTCAGAGAGCTTGGTGGTGGAGACGAAGCGATCGAGTCCTTCGACATTGAATGTGCCGTCGCCGTCAAGCAGCTGGGTGGAGCAGCAGTCATCCATGGCGGGCAGAGGTAGGAAGTCACAGGGCAGTCAGCCTCAAGTCTGATGCAGTCGTCTAGGGTTTTAGAGTAGCTGAATACGGAAAAGGCGAGGGGATACGGATTGGTCGTCGCAGGGTGATGAAATGGAGTACGGATGAAGCAACCGATTGGGGAAACGGAGGAGAGAGAAGGGAAAAGGAGCAGAGAAAGAGTGAAGAACAGATCAATCTCCCAATCTCCTCTTCAGTCTTTGATGTTTCTCTCCTTTTTCTTCTTGTACTGTCTGTGCGCAATTCGTGTTTAAAATTCTGTATTCTTTTGAATTGAAATACCGAAAAATCAACATAGTTGGGCTTTGCTTTACCGTCCACCACCGTCCAGCGGGAAGGGATGTTTGATGACAGGTGGAAGGATTTTTTCCAAATACAATAATTCTTTAAAAAAATTCCTAGAACCAACCGTTTTTATATCGACTAAACGTGACTTAAATTTTACAAATCTTTCACGTTTGTTACTCAAATTTTTTTTTTCTTATTCGCCACTAACTTTACGAATAGTGTTACCATTAGTCACCTGTCGTCCAGTTCTGTTAAAATCAAGGTTGTCAACCCGCGGATCGACCCACTTTGATCCTGGCCCGGTGAGAAAAACGGGTTGCACGCACCCGCTGGGTCGACCGCTACAAGGTATCGGGTTGGAGGTCAAATTGTGTCATTTTTTCTTTGGTTTGCGAAATGCGTCTATTTTCCGATTTTTCTTTTCGCCTAACTCAATCTTTGGAATCCTAAGTTGAACATTTGAATATTGAAGTTATATAAGTGTGTGTGAATTTTCACTATATGTAGGATCTAAGTATGACATGATATTTTGGTGTAATATTATATGTTATAACTCATATATTAGATGTGATTTGATATAATTTATCAGGATAAGTACAATATAATGATTTTTTCCATATCTCCGAACTAAAACGGGGTACAACAGGTGACCTATTAACCCTTGACCCACTAGCTCGACCGGGTCCGGGTCAGCCTGCGGGTTGACAACCTTGGTTAAAATCATCCTATGTGGCAGTCAACCAAAGCCTTTGACCGTTAGTTTGATGACGTGGCAATTGAAAATATTAATATATATTTTCATATTAAATAATAATATAAAAACTATTACTTTTCATTTTGTTGCCAATTCTTTCTGACCCTTCGTGCTACAGAGCTAGAGCCGATCCAGAGCCCGCTCGGTCCTTGACTGGAGTAAATTCAAGAGCAGCGGGGATTCGACTTCCCCTAGGATAGGGTATTACGAAAGGAAGTTGTCATTGATTATTAATTAGCAATAAGCTTGGAATTGATTCTTCCTAGGTCGATGCCCGAGCGGTTAATGGGGACGAACTGTAAATTCGTTGGCAATATGTCTACGTTGGGCGACAATGCACTCAAAACCACGATCAATGCGTTCTTATTGTGATCATCAAGAGCCAAGCTGGAAATCGCTCAGGCGGTGTGATCCTTCGCCTCGTGAAACCCACCCTTCAACACATCAATCAACGGCGGGAGAGGCCTCGACCGTACAATCTTCACCTTGTTCTGCTTTTGCAACGAGAGGTTGACTAGAGAAGCGACGACGTTCACCTGAATATTCGTGTACATGGATGAAATTAGGGTTCACAAGGCGGAGAGAGTCGTCGGAGTGCGGAGATTGACGGAAGCCTCTCCAAATACAGTTTTTTCGGTCTTAAATGAGGACGAAGCATTGCAGGAGGAATAACATCTTGGTCAAGTCGCTAATTGGAGAGGGAGCGATGAATTCGATATCTCTGCCTCGATACTAAAATAAGGAGATCCGGAGCGGCATCCCCAACTCCCAATTACTACTCTCCAAGGCTTCTCCCAGTACGCCACTTTCGCCAAGCTCTCCGCCTATAACGTTCTCGCCACTCAGCTCTCGACGTTTTGCTCCGCTGCCAGGCTCCTCTACTTACCCGATTTGTCCCCCAGCCTCGAGAAGCATGTCGGAAAGGTCATTTCTACCTCGGACCATACTCTCAAAACTTCCTTTCGCCGCATCCCAAATCGGCAAGCTGAAGCATATCATCCACACCGCCGACAATCTGACGATGTAGGCATGATCGTGAACTCGTTGAACGAGTTTGAGCGCTCTCTGAGATCGGGCGAGACGAAGCGGTGTGTGGGGTCGGCGGAGGACATGATCAACTTCGCCACATCGGTCTTGGGCCGGAGCATGGAATTGGCAGCAAACTGAAAATGATTTTATTTTTTATATTATTTTTTAATTTGAATATATTGTTTTTAATTGTCATGTCATCAAACTAACGGTCAAAGGGTTTGGTTGACTGCCACATAGGATGCTTTTAACTGAATTGGACGGTCAGTGACTAATGGTGAAAAGATTAGTAAAATTAGTGGCAAATAAGAAAGAAAAGGATTCGAGTGGTAAACGTGAAAATTTTATTTAATTTGAGTGACGACACATGTAATTTTGCCATAAAAATTCATAATCTATATAATTAAGAGATGGAAATGGGTCGATTTGGGGCGGGTTATGCCAAACCCAAACCCATGGGTTTATCCATAAAAAACCAGGGTAAAACCTACTGGATTTGGAAAACTCAAATCCGACCAAATCCACTGGGTATCCGCGGTTTCATGGGTACCCATGGGTCATGTACAAAGATGCAATTACACTAATTTTCACTACTATTGTCTACTACGTACACACTAACTCACAAATATTTTATACTAATTGTTCAATATTAAAGATAAACATCCACAAACAATATGATTAATTGAACACGTGAGGAATTAGTTTAGAAAGTATAGTTAATCAGTTAAGGGTTTTGTGGGTCATGGGGATTGGGGAGTAAGAACTTGGGTGCGGGTATCCACGGGTTGGATATGGCTAAATCCAAACCCAACCCGCAAAAAGTATAGCGGTTTTAAACCCGAACCTGGCCTGCAATCCCTCAAAGCGGGTTTTACCGCGTTGACCATATTGGGTAGGGTAGGGTTTTACCGTGTTTGCTAGATCGTTGGTGAACGGTGACAAAAGTGATGAGGACGTTGATAGCTTGGGAGGATGGCGATCAAGAATAAATCTCTTCTCCCACAAGTAATGAAAGACAAATCGTTTCTCCCATCAGCGATGAAACATAAATCGCTTCTGGGAGAAGCGATCAGTGTATTAATTGACGTATAATCATTCTCATCACAAGCGATTAATGAAATTGCTTTTAAGTGAAGCGATCAATTGTAAATCGATGTTCTCAACCGCGATTTTATTTGAACCGAGATTAAGGTTGATGCATTTTTTTTCACGAGGCTAGGGTTGGTGCAACGGTTTTCAATGATCGCTTTTGTCGCAAGAATCGACCTACATCTCTTTTGTCGCAAGCTATCAATATTTGACACGAGTTTATGGTTTGGTGCATCTACTAAAACTTGATCGCTTTTGTCGGAAGCGATCATGTATTTATCGCTTGTGTTTAAGGCGATCTTGTCTTCATCTGAATTCAATATACAAATACAACCTCATCATCCTAACTCACTCTCATTTCCCTTTTTCTCCACCTTCGTAGCAGAAACTCCCTTCTTCTCCACCACACTAGCAGAAAATTCCACGGCCACACTAGAACTATATTCCCTTATTTTGACTACAAGGTATGTATGAATTTGTTTAGTATGGTAATGTTTAAGTAGTTGTGTGTTTGTGCTTCATTAACTACGCATCGTGTTAATTATGTAAAACATTCGGAGTAAAAGGTGAATGTATAATGGGTTATGGTTTTGGATGTTGTATGTGATCGTTATTTATTTTAAATTACAGACATGGGTAGATTTTGAAAGTTCTATCTTCTTATTTGGTGGAATGGTTGGGTAACAAACTCTCAAAATGGGTCGGTTATGAAGATGGTGAATCCAGTAAGTAATCAGATTCACGGGAAAGAACTATATGACATTAGTGCATACAGGATTTGTATGGTGGGCCATCGAAGAGTTTGTAAAATTTCTTACCAATATCCAAACATCGGTGGAGCGGTGTCACGTACGAAGGAGTTGTCATATTTAACGATGATGGGGTTAACATGATGGTGAACTTCCTCGCTGAAAACAAGACCGGACTTGTAAAGGTGTATGTTGAGACCGAGGATATCGGTCATGGTGGAGCCAGTTACAGATATAATGGCGGTGAATCCACTTATCATCCCCCATTATTACGTTGATATTTTCCCCCTAAATGCACGAGTTTTTATATAAAATAATTCCCAAATACAATTGTCATAAAAATCCCTAAACGACATATGTTTTGCATGAGGGAAGGAATGAGGTGGTTATTCAAGAAACTATGAAGGAGGTAGTTATGTAGGCGGTTATGTGGGAGATGGGGTACCATGGGGCGATATGTTGCTCCAAATGATACTTCTATTGAGCCCGCCACATTTGTTGAGTCAGATGGTGTTCAATGGCCGACCTGGGGTCCATAATGGTCTAACATTGAAAATACCATTCAGTCATCCATGCGATCTGCACAAAGTCGAGATGATGATGTTGACGGTGATGGTCACGAGCATCCCACTATGAGATGCCGAGTTATCCTTTCGGACGCGACGAGGATAGCAAAGAAGATTTGGGATATGTGAGTGAGGAAGAGGATATGGATGATGAGGGTGGTGTCCAGGAGCCACCTACTCCATACTACACAAATATCCCTAATCATCCCTTATATGCTCATAACGAAGATCCTAACCTTCTCCTTATGCTAGTATGGAATCTTACGTCTGATTCGGAGGTGGGAATGACATTTCCCACCAAGGATGTTATTGGTGGTGCTTTTAGAGAAGAAGCTATGCGACGGGATTTTGAGTGGAATGTCAAATATTCTAACAAAAAATAATTTCATGTCATATGCAAGAATGCTAGAGACGGATGTTGGTGGGAGCTTCGAGCTGCATGGATGAAGAAACATTTTTATTGTCGATTTGCACGGTGCATAACAACCACGCCTACTCTTATTCGACAATTACTTGGAGCCCTCAAATCTTAAAATTTGGACAGTGGACTAGGCTCCAAGAACACACATACAACCAAACATTCACATGCAAACGTAATGGAATATCCCCTCACCCTCCCCCCCCCCCCACACACACACACTTAAGCACGACATTGTCCTCAATGGAGGAAAGATAAGTAGGGTAGAATGAAGTTACCAGATCAAGTGTGAATGATGGTGGAGGGGGCAGGCGGTGCATTCCAGGAGGAGAGAGTAGCCGAAACACTTGCACCACAAAATCTCACAAAGGTTGAGTTATTGACTCTAAAATCATAGCACAAAATTGAATCAATCAAAGAGAAATAGGGAAAGAAATGCAAACCGACTGGTTGAGCTGCCTCTCGACAAGTGCTTCTTTTATGTCTTGAGCCGAATTATGGCTCCTAAGTTTCGGTCCACCCCAAAACCTTCTTGAAGTTGAAGTTCTCATCGATGAGGTGAAGTCTCAAGTCACGAGCATGTGGTATGACAGGTGATAAAGATGGCTTGGGCACTCGAGGAAGAGACAGTCTCCACACGCGAGAGCTCTCCTTCGTTTCTTCTCTTATCTCATAGCCCCAAACCAGATATGATAGCATCGATTGGCCGCCATCACATCCACCAAGAGGGACCAAAGATGAAGTGTCCTTGGTCTGGCAAAGAGACACTGCAAACGAGTCCTTTCCAAGTAGCTCCTTGAAGTTTGGTGTAGATACCACATGTAACTCATGGCCGGTGCAACTTGTAAGCCTCTTCCACCTCAACTTTGTCCTCAGCTTGGACGCCGATTGCATCTTCAACCCCCCCCCCCCCCCTTCCTTCTCTTGAATGTGGTCTCTCCCCTTAAAAAAATCAAGAACTTCGGCTCCTTCTCTTTCGTCATCCTCTTCAACTTCTTTCCTCACCCTTTCTCGTTCCTCTTCTTCCAGCATGGATTGGAGATCAAGTCTCCAAACAATTTCTTCAATGAGATCATCTTGCATCTCCTCACTCATGCTCGTCTCTTTAAAGCTCGGTGTGGGATGTGGAAAGGTGTGATCGGCTACGACAGGACATTCCTGATCATGATCATCACAGGAGCTCTCCATGACAGCTTTTGTATGCTCCACAATGGCCTTGTATCCTCCTCATCTTCTTCTATTGTAACACAAAGCTGATCTTGAGCAAGTTGTGCACAAACTTGCTCAACTTGCTCTGTTTTCTTTGCTAAGTGCTAAACAGTCTCCTCCATCTCATGGAGAAGGGAATGGTCACATGATTACTCTTGAATCTAAAACAAACCAATGAAAACTATTCTATAATGAAATGTTATATACTAACCACAATGGTCGACAGCTCGTCAAATAACAACTTGTACTGGTAGAACTGGTCATCGTGCTGACAGGTGTTGGCCAAAATCCATCGAGCACCACATGGGTGTGCGTTCTTGGTAGTAGGCGCCCTCGTCACTGAATATCATGGTGCTATCTGTGGGAATCGCTCCCACGCCCAGAGCTGCAGTAAGGGGACCCATCCACCAGTGTCACCTCCTAGGGAAGAGGACTGCGTCATATGCAAAACCGACCTACCAATCTCACGGTACAGGTAGGCTAAAACAGCTGCTCCCCAGGCGAACCGTCCAGCTCTCTGCCAATCCTCCACCAGGAGTAGGTACTGTAGATGAACTGTAGCTCTAGTCCGATCAGGGAACAACACACCTCCCATCATAGATAGAGCATAAGCTCGTGCAAACTGCTCTGTCGTCTCTGATGATGCATTTGTCGGCAGATTATTGAATTCATCCCTGAGCCAACTAATCCTAATGGCACCGGCGGAAATATCAGTAGGAGCATGTCCTAACAGTCTCACACACATCGCCGACCACTCCTCATCTGGTACGTTGATAACACCAAAATCAGTGTTATTTACCCTCCATCTTAGAGTATGTTTTGTGCCAATCCATGTGCTTAAGCATTTAAACATTGTCAAATACATCCCTATTTTGTTCTTATATAATTTTGATGTGATTATAGGGTGTATTAGTCAATATGTGCAAATTAGGTACAAAACAAGGTCACAAGTGTAGAAAAAGGGCAAGGATCAAAGATCGTGTCCTAGAATCCAAAGATCACGGCCGAGATTTCCAGTCATGAAGTGATTTAATAATCAACTACATCACTCAATCACCTCATGGGACGATCTATGCAACAAGTTCTTTGCAAGGTACATTCCACCTTCTAAGTCGACTTTGATGAGAAGGGAGATCAGTATGTTCCGTTAAGAGGAGGATGGACCATTGTTTGAAGCATGGGAAAGATTTACATCTCTCCTACTCAAGTGCCCTCACCATGGCATAGCCGATTGACTACAAGTTGAAAGCTTCTATAATGGGTTAACAAAGGAATCACGGAGCCTCATTGATGCGGCTGGTGGAGGCGCCATTCAGAACAAAGAAGTTGGAGAACTTCAACAATTAATCGAAGAGATGGCCCTTAATAGCTACGATTGGGGTGACGAAAGGAGAGGTAAGAACATGTCAAAGGGAAGTTTATTAAAGATTGAAGAACCATCGTCTCTATCAGACCATATTCAAGAACTTTCCAAGAAAATCGATCAAGTTGCATCATCAATGAAGGGCAATAGGAAGCAACTTATGAAGTGTGATTGGTGCGGTGACTCGAGTCATAATATGGAAGAGTGAAAGTCTATGATTGAAGCTTTTATACAATTCGAGCAAGCTAACTTTGTTGGAGGTCAATCTCGAGGTAACAACCCTTATAGCTTGACGTATAATTCGGGATGGAGGAATCAGACGGACATTCTTTGGTCTTCTCCAACGGATAGGAAATCTCTAGGGTTTCAATCTCAAGCTCCAATGCAAACTTCTTACCAAAGGATGAGTCAACCAACCTACCATAGAGCGTATCAAGAACAAAGCCGACCCTTCGATGGTCGACTTGCTAAACTTGAAGATTTAGTAGGCCAATTTGTCACACATTCCAATAAGAAGTTTGAAACTTATGGCAAGTTCATAGAGAATACATTAACCAAATTCTCAAGTTTGGAAGCGGGCCAAAGGAATCAACAAGCTTCACTTCAAAATCTTGAAGCTCAACTAAGTTCATTGGCTCAAACTATCTAATTGAGACCTCAAGGAAATCTTCCGGGCAATACCGAGCGGAACCCAAAAGAAGGATGTCATGCAGTAACTCTAAGGAGTGGCCGACCTTTGAAGGAGATTTCTACTTCAACGCTAAGGATCCCGGTAAGAGAAGTTCACCAAGAAGTTGTTCAAGAAGAAAAAGTAGTTCGGGAGGAGTTACAACCTTCCATTGAAGTTAATGTAAAAAATGAGGGAAAATCTAAGAAGACTCACAAACTCGAGCCAACATCAAAAGCTCATTATCCTAGACGGTTATTTGAATGCGATCTTTATCATGAATGTGCTCCATGGTAGGACAAATTGAAAAAATCAAAGGTAATCGTTTCTTTCCTAGACATGGTATTGAAGATCCCTAAATACACAATGTTCTTGAAGGAAATTTTGTCGGGAAAGAGGAAAATGGAGGAGGTAGCTATGGTATCCGTTAGTGAAGTTGCTTCGGCATCCATTGGGTATGGAGGATTCCCTCCCAAGCTAAGAGATATGGGAATCTTTACTATTTCATGCACGTTTGGAGATAAAATATTTTGGAACCCGTTAGCCAACTTGGGGTCTAGCATCAACATCATGCCTACACGAATATACCATGATTTGAACCTTGGACCACTCACTCCTACTCCAATGCGGATTGAGTTGGCCAATAGGTCTGTTGTCGAGCCAAGAGGAATCATAGAGAATATCTCGGTAAAGTGCGCTCATTTTGTCTATCCGGTGGACTTCGTGGTTCTAGACACGGAGGGCTATGATGCATCGATTATTCTAGGACGCCCATTTCTAGTTACGACACCGACTATCATTGAAGTAAGTGGAAGCAAGATCACATTAAGGTTTGGTGAAGAGGAGATAAGCTATAAGATGACCCCAATCCCAAATTTCCACAAGTATTACAAATGGGAGGATGTCAAGATGGATTGTAAGCCGGTTACACCTCCTACCACACCACCTTCAAATCCCGAGATTGAATGGTTCAATATGGTCTTCCATGTTGACCCCCATGATGCTCAAGTTGAAGGAGAGAGTGATTCTTGCAAAAAGATGAAGAAACCGGGCAAAGAGAAATCTTCTTGCAAAATGAAAACCCAAGAGTTGTTCAAGGTTTCTCATGTCTCCGGTGATCATGGAAGAAAGCTCCAAAGGTTTATCTTTCAGGAGAGACATCCTAAGAAAGGAGACAAATTTGTTAAGGGCAATTTATCTCCTATTCTTGAAAATGAAGAATTCGGGAAATGCTACAAGCCATTCACGGATAATAACATCTCTATCAAGGAGCCTCACCCTCACCATCTTGCAAATCAATTCTCAAATGGATCCTTTCTATCTCATGCACCGGACGAGGCATCCGAGAGACTCCATGGTCTTCACCTTGGACTTCACCACAAGTATGACTTTTACAAAGGGTCATCAGTGAAGAATGAAGGACTCTCCATTTGATCTTAAGGAGTCAAGTGCGACGAAAACACTTTTAAAGACGCGTTTGTTGGGAGGCAACCCAACACTTCGGTTTGCGTATCTTTTCCCTTTCCTTTTCGTTTTAATTAAATAGTAGCATAGCTAGTACATTAGAGATGCATTGAAACTGATTGATAAGACTTATCCTTTCTTTTGGATGTTTGATTGAATGTTTAGATGAATGCTTGAACTAAGAGAGATGGAGAAAATGAGTTGTCCTGAACAGGACAAAGATCGCGGTCGCGGTCTTGGGTGCCTAGCCCGCGGTCTTGCCCGTCCCTATTTAATAATTGGTAGCCTCTTTAGATCTAAGTGCATTCACTTTTTTACCATTCTCTATATCTATATGCTATTACTCTCTAACTCTCTTGACTTTTCGAACCCACCTTCTTTAATCTCATCTTTCAACAACTTTTGAGAAGGATTTTCTATTGATTTTGGATTCCCACCATGTCCCTTAGCAAGATACGGTACACTTTTCCTTGTTTGACTCAATTAAATTGCCTTATCTTGCCCAACATGTGTTGATGGCTTAGAGTCTTTAATGTTCATTTTCTACTTAGAATGACATCTTGATGGCATGAGAGTGTTTTTCTTTTCTTTAATGAACCCTCTATGTTACTTCTAATGCCTTGGTGGGTTGTGCCCATGCATTTATGCCATCTTCAACTACCATCCAACAAGTATTTGTGAAAAGTCCCCAACCACATAGAGTTCATTATTTGCATCATTTTGGATTAAGCATCAATTACATTGCATGGGGTGTCATTGATTGTTCCTACATCAATTGGGGGATATCCTTCTTACTATTGTGGAGATATTTCTCTATCCAATTTCCCTCTTTTTCCAAGTTCTTAGTCACATTCTTAGTCACATATATCGGGTGCTTGTTCTTGAGTTTATTGGTACACTTACTATTCGAGACATGAGGGGTGCCACCGACCTTGAGGATTACATTCAGTTTCAACTCGGAGGAGAGTACCGTCACATGTAAATCTTATTGTTCAATAGAGCAATAGACATCTACCCGACTTTCGTTGATTCACCTAATGATTTTGCCACCTTGACAAGGGAATCCAACCTCCCTTGTTTCAAGACCTTCTATGAGTCTGGAGTTAAGAAACCCGAGAGCCGACAATGGGACGTGAGACTATCAAAAGCCAGTGAGGTGCAACCAGAGTGGCGACTCATCCACCATGTGATGGCTAGGTCTGTGGGAGGAAAGAATCAGAGCAAGGGCAATCTCACCACCCGAGACATCACCCTATTTCATAGCATGCGCCTCCCACAATCTCTCCATCTCATCCTATCAATCTTATCTATTTTCAATCATTACAAGACGGATCACCGACTTGCCGCACTCCACGGAGGAGTGTACATCACCTGACTTGCCAGATATTTCCAAGTTGACTTTGGAACTTTGAAATTTCGTTTGGATCGAAGGACCGTTCCTATATCCTTTGGTGTCTTGAATTCGACACTTAAGGTTCTACACATGAGCAATGATGCCATTTGGGGTGTGCGGGGATTCCCATTCTCAACCACCAATACATTGGACGTGAGAGGAACCATATTCCGTCTTCCAGAAGCTAGGAGGGAAACAGACCTAAGAGGATTGACAACCAAGGAAGACCAATAGGAGAGCGTGCATGAAGGAGGAAAGGTGCATATTCCCACTTTTCAACCGGTTCACCCACCGAGCAACAATGCAAGAGATTATAGAATTGAGGCTATGATAGCGGTTATACTTCACAACCAACAAAGGGAGAAGGAAGCACGGCTTCACACTATGGCGTGCATCCAGGCGATCATGGAGAAGATGAACATTCTGATCAAAGATGTACCGACCACATTCAACCGCTTCTCACCTTCCGCACTTTCCCACGATGAAGAAGAAAGACACTCCAAGGAGGAATGAGTCTAGGCATCCAGGGCCTAAGTTTTATCTTTTTTATTTATTTAAATTAAAACAATGTTTAATTATTGCTTTATTTTCAATTTACCTTTCGTACCTTAAATATTCTATCGCTAGTAGTAGTAGTACTTATTATATATATTTATCGTACCTATAACTACTATTCGTCTTCCTCTCTATCTTATGCGCTTTATTGTTATGAAAACCACCACCAAGAAGACAAAGACTACACTTGTGAACCTTCACCAACCCGACCTATGGTAACAATCACGACCTTTTCTTGGCGAACTCCAACATTGAGGACAATGTGTTGCTCAAGTGTTGGGGGGGGGGGGGAGGGGGGATGCTTGTGCATGTTTGAATGTTTATCATGATTGGTGCAACCGTTTATTACTAGTATCCTCTCTTGTTTCTGAATGTAAGATGTTGATAAATGCTTGCGGGAGTGTGTGCTAGTGATCATTCCTTTGTTGTGGTGATGAATGGTGAAGTATTAGTGTTTTTTGGAACCTTGAATGCACACCCAACATTTTCAAATTTGAGGGTTCCAAAACACCTTGTCCTTGCAATTACCTACTCGATGTGCTTTGATTTGACTAGATTGATTGATTTGTTGTGCATTTTAGGTGATAGTTGCATGGTTTTAATATCGGTACGTGAGGAATTTTACTACTTTACTCCTCTAGTGTGAGTCGATAGTTGACACGCTAAAACACAACACCTAACAATGGCCAAGTGTAACCAATGAAAGGGACTGCAGTATAGTGGCACAAGTAATAAATATCGAATCCACGGGTCTCTAGAGTTACTATTACTCAGCTTCAGTTCATTATCTAGCAAACTAGATTAAGGATTGATTTACTAAACTACTCTACTAATTACAAGTTGGGAACTCACTTAGGTATGATCCCCCCTAGCTCCTCAATTAGGTCCAAGTTGCAATTACCTTTGGTTAATCTACTGTTGATTAAACTGCGGAAGATCCTGAATTAGCTTGGAATCTCTTAAGCTGACCAAGCACTCTTAGACAGAATACTCGGCAGGCGACTAGCCTTCATCGGGATAGACTGCTAAGGCGATTCACACAGATCTCCACTACTAGAATGAATTCCAGTACAAAGCAGTGAATTGATCAACTCTCGCACAACTAATTCAACACTATCAATCAAGGAAGCTCTCTTAACCTAATCAGATTCTATCTATCATAGGTTAAAGCAGAAATCAAGAGAATTTGATCAAGATTCAATTGACTCAATAAATCATGCCTCAATAGATTATAATCAAACAATATAGCATCCAAAACTTCATACAAGAAAGATCCTAACACATGGAACTAGGGTTCCTCGAAACCTAAGTGAAGGGAAGTTACTCCATAGAGAAGAGAGAGACTGCAGAAATCTGATCTAGATCTTCAATCTCCATCTCCAAGCTTGATTCCCGAGTTCCAATGGTGAAGAAATCCTCCAAAATAGCTCCAAGAATGTTCCCAAGTTGCTCTCTCTCTAATGTTCGTCCATTGGGTGTTTGGGAACCAAAACCCAGCTCTCCCTTTCCTTTGGCTTCAATCTGCCTCAAAAACCCGATTATGGGCAAAACACGGTCGAGGACACGGCCGTGTTTTGATTTTGCCCGTCCGTGCCCTTGCCACGTGTTAAAAACACGCCCGCGTCGGCCAAAACACGGTTGTGCCTAAATATGGACACGACCGTGTTTTTCTTTAGGCCAGCCCGTGTTTTACTTTTCCATCAGTTCAGCTCTCGCACATAAAAACACTGGTGTGCCTGTTTTTGTACACGGTCGTGTTCTTCAGGCCTCCTGCCCGTGTTTTGCCCCCAGCTCGACCGAATGACCTCCAAACGCCCCGAATCTCGTGCTTAGCCTTTCCTTCGACGTCTGGGACCTGAAATATGACAAAGTAGCACAACCCAGCGTAAAACGGGCCAAAAATACACGACTACTAGCCGCAAACAGATAAGAACCAAGGGTGCAAACATGTGCAAATACATCGTTATCAAATTACCCCACACTTAACTGTTTGCTTGTCCCCAAGCAAACCAAGTCAGATACAAGGTAAGCTCAAAACTTTTTAATCAAACATGCTTTAGGGACATGTCATATCGGCACAAAACACGTGAATCATACAGGCTTTTGATCATTAACACATGGACAACCTCAATGACAACCTAGACAACCACCACAGATGACATTCGAGTGAAGCAAAGTCGAGCAAAGGAAGAGTCTCCCTTCTGTTCACCAACCAACTGTGACTTGACTCAACCACTTATTCGAGACAATCACTTCATGCACAAAGCTCAAGATATCAGAATTAAGACCGAGCAATCTAGGTCCTCACCGGGGTAAAGAGTGTAGAAAATATGAGGAAATAAATTGCTCACTCTTGACCAGTGGGGTCAGGACAGAATTTTGATGCAAGATGTGCATACTCATACTCTCAATTCCTAACGTCTCTTCACCATGACGGCAGCCTCTAAATGTTAGAGTTCACATATCGGGTGTCATCACTAACTAATCCGGAGGTCTTAGACACAAGTTCATATGGCTGGCTAGGGTCTTGGACATGGGGAAAAGGTCTGTTATGTGGTGGAAGTATTCATAGCACAAGGTTCCACAATTCCAAACCCAACACAATCACAGTCAATCAAACCACTCTTTCTTTCTGCCATTCTGCATTACTCACATTCTTTAGAGCACAAGAGCGAAGGAGGTCACATAAATGTTAGTATTTCCAAGCCACACTGCTAAGAAACACTACTCAATGGGCACTATTAAGATTTTGTGGTGGTGGCTCTCTTTTGCTTTCATTCATTTTTTTTTCTTTTCTTTTTTCTCATTTCTTGAGAGAACCACCACCTATGCACATTTTTCAAACACATGCCCAACTTTTTTAAGAACTACCTCCAACCCTCACATTATATTTAGTAGAAACAGCAGAGAACATGTAAAAACCACTCTGTGGAACCTTCTAAAAGATGCAAAGGGGTGATTTTCCATTGTAGACCGAAAGAAAGGACAACACACGGCCTAAAGGGCTGACTAGGGGGTATGACACATCAGGACAGTCAATTTGGTCGTGGGCTAATCCTATGCCTCCATCATCTTAGCTAATGGCAACGTGAATGCTACACATCATGGAAGAGGGAACTATTGCACAAGAAAGAAACGAGCAGGCTCAAATCTCACATGGCTACCTATATGCTCTATCTCTCATTCTGATTCCCTGAACTATATGCATAAACGACTGTCAAGAACAAGTGATCAATCCAAGTCACAGTTGGTAAGCAAACCGTTGAAACACTGAACCCCTACACAACTCTACTGCACGTCTCAGTCATCATTATAGGTTGTCCTAGTCACAATCCAGTTGTCATGCATCAATTCGAAAGCCATTCGATTCACCAATCAAGCCTAGAGTGCCAATATGATCATGCAAACATCAGTACTTGGAGCCCTCAAATCTCGAAATTTGGACAGTGGACTAGGCTCCAAGCACGCACATACAACCAAACATTCACACACATACATAATCGAACATCCCCCCACACTTAAGTTACCAGATCAAGTGTGAATGATGGTGAACGGGGCAGGCGGTGCATTCCAGGAGGAAAGTAGAGAAAGAGCAGTCGGAACACAAACACCACACAAAATCTCACCAAGGTTGAGTTATTGACTCTAAAATCAAAGAACAAAACTGACTCAACCGAGGAGAAATAAGGAAAGAAATGCAAACCGACTGGTTGGGTTGCCTCCCAACAAGCGCTTCTTTCACATCGTGAGCCGGACGTTGGATCCTAAGTTTCGGTCCATGCTAGAACCTCTTTGAAGTTGAGGTTCTCATATATGAGGTGGAGTCTCAAGTCACGAGCAAGTGGTGTGGCAGGTGATGAAGGCTCGTGCACTTGATGCAGCTGAAGTCTCCACCCTCGAGACCTCTTCTTCGTTTCTTCTCTTGTTTCATTGCCCCAAACCAAATATAACCGTATCGACTGACCACCATCGCGTCCACCAAGAGGGACCGATGCCGATGTGGCCTTGGTCTGGCAAAGAGACACTACAAATGGGTCCTTGCTAAGCAGTTCCTCGAAGTTTGGTGGGGATATTACTTATATTATAGGGCCGGTGCAAGCCTCTTCCACCCCAATTTCATCCTCATCCTGGACACCACTCGCTTCTTCAACCCCCCTTCCTTCTTCTTCCGGCTTCCTCTTCGCTGGAATGGTCGGAGTCGGCCATCAGATCTGATGGGTTGGGCGATTCCGTGCCAGAAGAAGGAAAAAGGCATGTCGGGCTAAGTGGTTCCGCACGAGAAGAATGGAAGGGAGGAGTAAGGCGGGTCGGAATCGCGTGAGGGAATGGAGGAAGGGGAGCTTAAGGTTGCGGATCCGCGTGAGCAAAGGGAGAGAAGAAGAGAGTTTGTATTCGTCATTTGGGGGTGGGTGGGGTTGGGAGACAGAGAAAAGTATTTATTAGCCCAGCGAATCTGCTTGAGACTGGGGCGAATTCGCATTTTTTAGTCAGCGAATCCGCTTGAGTCTGGGGCAGGTTCGCGTATGGTATGGCTATTTTTGCCACTCTCGCGAATTTGACTTCTCCTTTCTTCAAAACACAATATCCCTGTCAATACTTTATAAACCATTATATCCTTATATTCATGGTAAATTTTTAAAAAAATATTTTGGGAATTAATCCCTTAGCTTCTAGATTATTTCATTTCCTACTTCCATTATAATCAATCACTTACCGGCTGGAGGAATAAACCCCAGACCATTACTGTCAAAAAAAAAAAAGATATAGTCGTTTGCTTGATGGATTTAGGGAAGGAATTGGTGATGGATTTGGGTCCATGATGGACTTTGTCCAAAATCTATTGTTTGCTTCAAGTATTTAGAGCGAACAAATCTGTGGGACCCATGGACTTTGAGGTCCAAATACGTAGGCCCCACGAACTTGAAAATCCCACCTCTTTAGGTCGGAATTGATCATGGACTTTGAAGTCCATCATTTTTTACTAACCTACCCCTCATATTTTCTTTCTCTATAAATGTATATTTCACTTCATACATACAAATTTAATTAACAAAATCCATAATCCATGAAACAAACAATGGTGTTTTGTAAATCCATAATGAACCTAAAACCCTCATATATCCATAATTTTTCAAAATCCAAGTTATATTAAAACCTTCATTTTCCAAATTTACGAAGTAAACGACCCCACATATCATAGATTATTGGAACCGCATGCCACTCATGGTTTGCGACTTGCAACCAATAATAGGCGACCACAATGCGAGTTTTTTCCTAAACTACCATCGTTTTAAATTTTTTTTATAAAACTACCACCCAACCCAACAAAATTTCAAAAGTACCACCATTAATCGAAAACCGCACCCCAAAGGGGCGGTTATCCTTGAAACTGCATGGCCGAGAGGCGGTTCTAGCTAGGGCTGCGGGGAAAATGCTCCTCCACGTGGCGGTTCATGCAACCGTGCGATTTGGAGGCGGTCCGGCGGCTAATCGCGTGCCAGCGGAGCGATACACGTCTCAGCCTTGTAACCGTTCCCCGAGGACACGGTTTAGACTTCAGGAAGAGGAAACTGTGCGCGAGGGGTGCGGTTTCTGGTGGTAAAAATACCAAACCCCCCCCCCCCCCCCCACCAGGAGGTCCTTACCCTATAAATACCCCCTCCTCTCATTTTCTTTCACACCAAAACCAATCTCCTCTCTCTCTCTCTCAGTCTCTCTAAGTTTATCACTCTACCCATCCCCCGTCTGCTCTCAAAAAACTTTCTTTTGGTTATTCATTATAAAACCGTCGAATCTCTGTCCGGTTCCTGAAAAAATGGCTGATTTTATCGAAGAATAGGGTATTTACAATGATGACTATCAAGCGGTACATACTCATTTTGCCTTTGTTGTTGTTGCAATGATTTTATTTAATCTATATACTAATTGATTTATGTTGTTGTTATGCTATCGTAGGTTGGAGAGGATGTTGATATCTACAATCAAAGATATTATGTTGATCAAGGACCAATTGATCCGACTGTGTTATACGACCAAGATAATCATCGCTCAAGAGATGTTTGGAATGACCGCAAGGTACATATTATTTATCATCACTTGTAATTTTTTATTTTGTTAACGTAATTTATTGGTTTGTAAAATAAATTTGTTAATTTGTTAATCATATTTATTATTTTCAATAATTTAAATCAATACAATGTGTCACTTAATTATACTTTTTATAAAGAAATGCATGCCTAAGAAAATTGGGTCTTAAGAGATCATCATGATCCTCCCATTTCCCGGGAAAATCGGGTTCTAAGCGATCCTCGGATCCCCTCTTTTTCTGTCAATCAGGCTGTGTTTCTAAGGAGATGTATACCTCTCCTAAGAGTCTTACGAGTGTACTTGTATTGCTTTAGATTATTGAAAACAATCAATACGAAGTACAAAATAATATATTTGATTTTATGAGTATGTGTACAAAGTAATTTTGTTTAAATTTTGAAAATGGTATTCATTTTATTTAATTATTATAGTACGCTTAATATGTTTGTTTTTTAAATTATGTATATTTCTTGGGGAAAAAACCTTGATTTCATTAATTGATATTGTTTGTTATAATAGATTTATATATGTATAAATCATAAACTTATAGTGAAAGTTAAATTATTCGCTAGGATGTATACCATATAGTCCGCTATAGGGGTACGACGTATGTGCTTGCATGGAACGACGTCATCTTGCCCTTTCTAAGAAGGGAAAGATTGGATCCCATTAGGCACTTTAATGGGATAAAGATCGACCCCCAACTCATCACCGCATTGGTGGAGAGATGGCGAAAGGAGACACATTGCTTCAACTTTCGTGAAGGCGAGTTCACCATCACACTTAAGGACATCGCAATCCTAACCGATTTGCCCATCGATTACGATGTTATTTGTGTGGACTCTACTCCACCAGCTAAAGCTGTTGCGAATATGAGCGGTTGGCAGCATTTCATATGGAGTGCCATAGGGTTGGTACCGCCAGAAAAAGGAGACCACGATGCGGATGGTCGTCCACCATTGTCCAATGGCCAAGTATCCATCACTTGGTTGACAGCGGAGATCAGGCGTAAGCACAACCCTGAGTTTGGAGGCGTTCCCCTCACGGAAGAAAGTTTAGAGCGTGATAAAGAAGTTTATGCACGTGTCTACATCCTCGTCATGATCGGGGGATTTTTCCTCCCAAAAAATCCAACAATTTGTTGACCCTTCGTAAAGCCAGTGAGTGGACCCCATACTGGCACCTCTGGGGGCTCCATCTCGGCATTAACATATCAATTTTCATTTGGAATGTGATTGTAGTACGGGATAGGTACACGGTCACGAGGCACCTCATCACCGTCTGCGTCTGAATTGGGCTAGAATCATCAGCACCTTCAAGAAGATCGAAGTTGTCTGCACTGAAATCGCATTCCTCTTCTTCATCCTCAGGGTCACTAACTAGATTTGGATGGACATCTTCCATCTGATCAAGATCATGAAAGGCACCTTCATCTGCTCCGAGCATAATTGCACCTAGGGGTGGAAATCGGTACAGTATCGGTATCCCAATACCAAATACCGTATACCGAATTACATCCTAAATTCAATCCGAATCCCAATCTCTAAATATTTCAGTATCCCAATCGGTACTTCGGTATCCCAATCGGTATTAACGAATAAGAAATTAATTAGATTTGATTGCTTAATATAGGACAAAGAGACTAAGCAAAGAGTCTTGAGTTTGGATAGAGCTAGGATATGGATAAGGAGAATGGAGAAGAGGTGACATCTCAAATTTTTGTCATTGGTAATCTTTAATTTGATGAATTGGAGGCTAAGAGAAGACTAATACTAGTGTTTGTTTTTGGGCTAATACCACTAGGAAACCCAAACTATGAAAAATGTGTCATTTGTGTCCTAAAGTATCCAATATGACATTTGTGTCCTAAATTATTTGTCTGTTAGAGTTTACCAGCATTGATCGTTAGTATTTAACAGAAAATCCAGTCACCGTTGACGTGGCATTGACGTGGAATTTTAAATTCAATTTATATTAAACAAAATAAATAAAAATAAAACATAAACAACATAAAAAATAAAACATAAAAAAATAGTTTTTCCTTCTTTCTCGCAATCTGTCACCCAAACACAACACATCACCATCCCTTCCTTCCTCGACGTCCCTAGCAGCCGACGTCCACCACCCACCAGCCACCACCATCCCTTCTCCGTCAGATTAGATCCGCCAAGCCTCTTAATAGCGTCCTAATTTCCGCCATCATTACCGGGTAATGATTTTCCCCCTTCCACTTAAAATCCCTCCCCGACTCATTCAATTTCGAGCGCCCTGGAATCACTAGTTTTGATCAAAGCAATCAGACATATTCAACCCGTCATAGATCTGAGTCAACAAAACATCACTCCCACCCGTTTGTGCGCTTAGCGGGTCTATCTCCGCTGCCCCTTCCCCTGAACCTTCTTGATAGTTGAGAAGATGGCGAGATCGATGTTTGGGATTTTCCGGCGGCGAGGTTCCCAGAGCGACACCAACGGTTGGTGGGGCGACGTTGAAGAGGACTCACTGGCCGATGGAATTAATTGGTTTCCTTGTAGTCAATGGCAATTTCATTTGAATTGAGTTTTGGTTTCATATCCAGGCGGCGACAATGACTCGATGGTGGTGGTGATTTGGACTTGGGGAGAGATTCAGGATTTTGGTTTCTTCCTTTCCAGAGGAGGAGGTGCTTAGGAGGGTAGTGTGGTAGTGGATCTTGCGGGGTTCGGGAAGGCGAAGGATATGGGAGTGGCGGTGGATCTGGCAGGGTTCGGGACGACGAAGAATATGTGAGTGGCGGTGGATCTGGCGGGGTTCGGGACGGCGAAGGAGATGGAAGATGGTGGACGGTGGTTCCTCAACGATAACGAGAACATGGGAGAGGGGAGAAAAGAACCATTTGTTTTAATTTTATTATTTTAATTTCTATTTTCTTAACTTGATAATTTTTAATATTGATTAATTTTGAACAAAAAAAATGATGTGTCTGCTTATGTGGCATTTACGTATATGTCACATCACCAACGGTCAACATTTTTATGTTGACCGTTTGGTCAACCGTTATTTTTAACAGTCAACAAAATCTTCAGGACATAAATGACACATAACTATCATAAGTTAGGACACAAATATCATATTGGATACTTTAGGACACAAATGACACATTCTTAATAGTTAGGGTTTTCTAGTGGTATTAACCCTTTTTTTATGTTATGTAATTAGGGGTGGGCAACGGGAAACGGGTATTTGGGTATACCCGTACCCGTCCCTTTTTTAGGGTTACACAGGTTGGGACTTGGGATCAAGAATTACTACTTTGGGTACCCGCGGATTACCCTTTAATACCCGTTTGGGTATTACGGGAACCCATTATACCCATTAGTCCAACGCCCAAAACCCATTTACTCTGAGAGCTTGGAACTTTCTACCGTCAAATTGACTGATCCCATCACAGTCCATTGTAAGCACTCTACTGAACTCCATCCCATGTAATTAAGCTTCAGTGTGATGAATGTTTAGCTTGGTGGAATTCCTTATTTAAGGTTATTGGGAAGCAGTTGTGAAACGGGTGAGGTGCATTTTTACATAATGGCTTATCATTATTAGTGCTACTAGGTGGCGATGTCGCACATTGTTGCGGGGCGTAGATGGCCAAGGAACATGTATTATGTGACCTGTTATGGTGTTTTGTTAGTATTATTAGCCTAAAATTAATTTTTTGTTAGCAATTTTGTTAGTAATATTGACTGAGAAGAGATATATGCAGTGAACATCCAATTTAATAAATTCTAAAAATTTTGGCTAATAAATGATATTTACCTAAACCCAAGTCGACCCATTGATTATGGTAATCTGAATGTGTATGATGAGTTGGGTATGGATACTCATTTATTTGAGGGTGTTTTAATTACACATACAAAAATTAGACCTATTTGTGAACTTCAAAAGTTTAGGTCCCAAAATGTCATACATAAAAATTTTAGGTACTAAATATAATGTTTCATCAATATTTTGAGGACTTATGTGCCAAAAAAATTTTAGATTACAAATCTAAAGATATATTGAGTTTAGGTACCAAACTATAATTTGCATAGTTGAAACTTAATTTCATGTATGGTGATGCATTTAAGATGATAATTATTTACTTTTTTATGAAAATGGAAACTATTAATTGATACGTGTAGATACCTAGCCAAACATTCCATGTATAATTGTTGAAAATTCTAGCACGGTTGAAAAGAACAACTCTAGAGAGAAGCAAAAGGAATACAAGCTGGAATTCGCTTAAAATTTCACGCATTCAAATCCCATAGTGGAAAATGATGACTTTCGAATAAGTAATAACCATATATATTTATTTATAATTGGACTCGACATTGAGCTGAAAAAGTGAGTGGTTCATGGTTCAATTATTAATTCTTTAGACTGTTGGTGAGTCGTGTATCGACCCGTTCATACTTGTGATTAGAATACATAAAAATTGAATACTACTTAGGGTTAGAGGAAGAAGGCAAAGAAAGAAATAAAGAAATGGTTATGGAAAGTGAGTGAAAAAGGAAACGAATAGTAAGTAGATGATGAAAGGTTTTGACCAATTCTTTTAGTTGACCGTCAATACAACAGTCAACAATTTTCACCGTAGCAATTTATTGACACTTGCTTATGTGGATGTCGCATATTTTGTTACTTGTAGTTAGTAGAAGTCTGTTTAGTACCCCATAAATGTACTAACTGAGTTTATAAAATCGCTCTTGCAATATTTTAGTGTCGTCTCTCTTTTATCATTGATTTAATGTTTCACTTACTAAGCAAATATAAAATTATCGAATCTTCTCCTACAGTTAAGTGATACAACGTCTTGTATGGTACAAGCTAAATTTATAGTTTTATGTTATGGTGGATTGGATTCATTGATTGGTTCAAAAAGATTGGTGAATTGGATTCATGGATTCAAGTGAAATCTAAACATGGACCAATATGTGAATTTAAAAAAATTGTAGGTACGAAAAATCTCATAAAATTTAGATACCAAAACATAATTGTTCAATGATTTTACACTAAAATTAAATTTGGGGTATCAAAATGTAAAATGTACATTATAGTGACTAAGTTGTAATTTAATTAAATTTGGGTATCAAAATATAAAACACGCAAATCAGCTAGCTGAGTTTGGGCAACAGTGAACTGACTTCTGCTTTATATATACTAACATATTCAAAGAAATGAATCTGACTTATCTAGGGGTTTGAGGTAGTTGATCGATTCCTTTGTTTCTGGAGGTGTATTTGTGAAGGTAGGAAGTTTTTCAATCTAATGAATCAATTTACATGTCCGAATTCAATAATGTAAAATTTCATGCTTGATTTTAGTTTTAATTTTGTTACACCAATTGGACGGGTATTTACGGGTAATATGGGTACCCGTTATTCGTCCCGTATGGGTATTTATGGGTAATATGGGTACCCGTTATTCGTCCCGTACGAGTAATTAGTACTTGTTAACCCGTAAGGGTTTGGGATATGGGATGGAGATTGCTCTCCAAATGGGATTGGGTACCCGTTTCAAACGGGACGGGTATCCCGCCCCGTCCCGTTGTCCACCCCTACGTGTAGTATTAAATGAGAGAGTTTAGTTGAGATCATAAAATACACATTAGCTTATATTTCGGTATTGTTCGGTATTTTGGTATATACCGATCACAATCCCGTAATCCCTAATACCAAATAACAATTGAAATTGAATCCCAATCCCAAAAAATAATACGTGTATTCGATAATACCAAATATAGAGAAATTCGGTACGGTATTCGGTATATCCCAAATACCGATACCAAACTTCCAGCTCTAACTGAACCCCGAGCACGCAGTTTGCTTGAGGGCTGGTTGTCGACGCAGAACTGCACCCCAAGCACGCGGTTTGTGCTAGGGCAGCCATGGAAACTGCTTCTTCCATGAGCGTTTTTCCCAAATAAAACAAACCGCAGCTCCAACATGCGGTTCAGATAGAAATTGCCCCTCTACAACGCGATTTTCCCTATAACCGCCCTACGTGGTGGGGTTTTTAATTAAGGGTAGTATATTTAAAAAAATTTCGGTTTGGGTGACAAATTTATAATTTATTTTTTAAACCGTTGTAGCTTTGGGTTTTTCTCCAATCAGTGCAGCAGGAAAAAATAAACAATAAATAAACTAAATTGGTGAACAGTCTGAGCAGTGGCCCAGGAGGCGATGGGACAATGGTACGTAATGGTATCTCTTCTCGTCTTCTTCCATTGACCGGTCCACGAAAGCCTCTTTGACCAGCCTGCCCCACTCCCTGCTGCCGAAACTACTCACTGCCCCAGAGACAGATATGAACACAACCAAACCAAACCAAACCAACCTCCGCTTAACATAATGATCCCCCATCAGAAATGCAGCGACCAAACCGGCAATTCATTTCACTTCTACTAGACAATAAACATACTACAACAATCCAACTCTTAAGTGTACGTAAATCTCCATTGTTGACTAATATACAACAGACGAACCCTATCAATTAGGTTTACGTTGATTAACCAACCATGCATATTAATCAACCGAAAAAATATGAGCCAAAATTATGCACATGAGATTGAATAGATGATGATAACAATGGATCTAAAATGACGATCAGATGATACTAATTAACTACTTCCAATGAGGAGCTGATTGGGTCACTTGATCAGTTGGGTGGTTGAGAAGATGAAGACGGATTCTGGTTCGGGTTATGGGGTTTATTACTAATGTTACCGGTGCTGTTATTGTTCATATGGGAAGGGGAAGAGGAGGAAGAAGAAGCGAGGGCGAGAATGGAGTTGGCAAGCTTATTAACGGCGCCCACCAAACCGTTAATCCCGTGGCGGGTGATCTCCGTGTTGGACTCTTCTATCTCCAGCCTCCGCTCCTGCAAGCTCACCATCTCCCTGTGACGCCGCTCTTGTCCTTCTTGACACGCCTGAATCGCCTCCGCTACCCTCGATATCTCCCTGCCCACTACTACAACTCGATCGCCCTCATCCGCCGATGACGTGGACGGGCTGGAGGTTGCAGTCGTCCCCCCGCCGCCGCGGCTTGTTCCTTCTTCACCGCCGCCGCCGCAGCCGGATAATGACGTCGTCCTCATCCGCTTGTTCGGCGCCGGTGGTGGTGAGCCCAAGGAGTCTTCTTCTTCGCTCGACCCGTCGTCAGACGTCTCCAATCCCATCAATTTGGGGAAGAAAACAAACAACAACAACAAAAATCAATTAACCCTAGAATTAAAAAAAAAAATCCAAATCGCAAACATTGTTCTTATTGTATGAATGATTTCTAGATCTGGAAAGATAATGGATTAGTGAAACGATACCTACTGTGGGTGATGGTTGATGAGGAGGGTGGGTTGGAGGCGGCGGAGGATGAGAATGAGGCGGCAGAGGAAGCGCCGTCAATGGATGTGGCGGCGGCGGCGGCGGTACTGCTGGTTGAGCCCGGGGCAAGACTGAAATTGGATGTTGGCGTGGCGGCGCCGTTAATAGAGGGGGCGGCAGTGCAATCGCCGGAGGAGGCTGCTGCTGTTGTTGGTGAAGAGGATGATTATGAAGAAGATCGTTCGTTGATTGGTCAATCATCGGCTTGCCGGAGGATGGAGAGACGGAAGGGGTCCTAGGCGTGTTCGCGCCGGAAGTGGGATGAGAACCTCCGCCGCCACCTCTGCTCTCGACGACGTCGACGAGGGCGTCGTAAATCTGGGGAAGCATGTTGCTGGGAAGGTTCCTCTCCTTGCGCTCGTTCTTGTCCAGCTTCCAGTAACTGGAAGCGGAAGTGGTGGTCGACGCCGCCGCTGCTGCTTCTTCGGCGGCGGCGGAGGGAGGGAATGGTGGTGGGAGGCGGCGGTGGTAGTCGCGGACTTTCTTGTAGTCGCGCATGAGGTTGTCCCACTTGTCGTTGCACTGGTTTTGGCTGCGGAAGCAACCTTTCCTCCAGCAGTAATCCTCCACCCACTTCCACCGCAGCTCCGCCGGCTTGCTGTTGCCGCTGGCGCCGATTCTCTTGGTCCTTCTCTCCTCGTCCATTCTTTTGGCTTCAATCAGCACCATGGTCTCGGTCACCGTCCAGTTCCCTTTCCTGTAATCTCTTATCATCACCGATCCCCCACCTCCACCGCCTTGATCGGCCATCATTTCCCCTACCGGGCTAGATTAAATGCATGCAACTACTGCCTTCCTCTCTCTGAAAGAGTTCTTCTATAAGACACAGAGAAGAAACTGGAAAGACGAAAGATCAAGGTGAGAGAGAGAGAGATAACGAAGAAGGTGTTTGTGCAATGGGTCCATCCAATTGGATGGCCGGCTTTATGGCAATGTGTGTTTCTTTTTCTGCTCAGACTGTGCTTTTGGGGGCTGGATTTGATGTTGCACTGCCAATGAGTGTGGTGTTCAAACCCCAGTCAAATCTCCATGCTTAACTTCAGGAACCAAAAATGGAAATTCATATTCTTGGGTCAAACCCCAGTCAAATCTCCCAGCTTAATATCCTAAGGTCCTACTCCTACCATTCGATACTAGGGCTTTTAATACATCTATGCAAGTTTTAGTCAAGCACATAGATGCACATAGATCGTCTATTGGACTCGAGATGCACTCATCAATAACTAAATCTAGACCCTTCATTTTGAAAATCCAGATCTAAGAATGAAGAATTAAAAGTTATTTTTTTTCCTAGCTTTCTTAATCGCCTCATATCTTCTTCATTTTAATTAGAATTTTAAATTTTTTTCACATATGGAACGAGTTCGGTGTGCTCTACAAAATGAGATACATTTTCAATATTTTTTGAGAAAAAATTCTTGCCATATGGTATCTTCTTCGTTTTTAATTCGTTTTTGAAAACGTTTGCATAGAAAGAACGAGTTCATCATGATCTATTGGATCAATAAATTTCTGGGTAAACAAATTACAAGACCAAAAAATACCACAAAATAACACACAATACCACCTTGGTACGGGGTGGTATCTTGTGGTACACAATGTTAAAAGTCGTAAATGATAGTTAATATAATTCTACTATCATGTATTTAACCATCCTACAGTCTTGTTTTGTTCATACCACCATGGTACGTTTTTCAAACCATAGGTATGCTCTTATTTCAATATCAGTCAATACCATATGGTATAGACTAGTAAAAAATGACTCAATTTTTTTGTTCAGAAAATATATCAAAGTGGATATCATTTTGAAGAGCATAATTAATCTGATCTAACTGTGCAAAAAAATTAAATTTCGACTTAAAACGAGTGAGAAATCGTCCGTCAAAGATTAAGGAGGGGGAAATTAAAGACTTTCCAAGAGAGAGAGAAAGAGATGTTGATGTCATGCTGATGTGGACGGGTTACTCATGGTTACTCACCATAAGGTTACTGACCCGATTCGTTCCCCATCTATGGGGTTGCAATAGAGTTCAGGAGAGTCCAGTTTTTTTATCGGGTGGGAACCAAAACAAATTATAAAAGATCAACTTTGGCTTGGGCTCAGCTCAACTCAAATTTGATTTGATTCAACTCGATAAGTATTCCCAAACCCAAAGCGAGTCTAGTGACATTAATTGGTTTAAAATTTACAGTAGTCTATTTTCAGTTGTAGTGTATCCCAACTTTGCACTGCCTCACATACTTTGTATTTAAATCAATTGTTAATATTAGGATCATGGAGATTTAATACTGGAACTCTCGACCAAACCACACTTTTATGTCACAAAAAGAACTGATTGATGGCAATAACTAGAGTTATTGAAGGAGTTAAAATACAAACATAATGGACGATTTTAATATACACACTAATTTTTTTATTGCATACAATACACAACTATGGTTAACAAAATATTTAGTAACCGAAATTAATAATTTATAACACCAAATTACAATTTGCAAATCTTACAAGTAAATATTTACAAATATTTTATGTTGGTTTACAAATCGTTGCCACTTGCCAGTTTGTCACCATGTAGAAATTAATTTTTTACAAGAACATGTACAAATGGAAACCTAGTTTCCTTCTCATTTTTAAATTTGAAAAAGTATTTATGTTTTGTGGTAGTTTTGAGATTATTGAAATATTTCAGTACTTTTTAGGGTATTTGTTGGATTTTGCTGGCATTTGATATACTTGTAATAGGGATTAATTATGGATTTTAAATAAATTTATGGGCTTATTCGCCAGACAGGAACGATTGCTGAGTATATATATGAGTTATATAAAATGGGTAAGATGTTCAAGGACGTACAAGAGCGAACTTTGGTGGGGTTGTGCATAGAAAGATTGAAGTTGCAATTGGCAGCAGCTGCTAAGGTAATCGAGCCCCAATCTTTGTGTGTGGCATTCACGGGAGCAAGTCAAAATAAGGAGGAGTTGACGAGCTAGAAAGAAAGTGTTGGGCGCTTCCCGCGATCCGCCGGTGTAGACAAATCGAGGATTAGTCAATGGTGGGAGCGGCACCAACAATGGCAGGAGCGACCTGCGTGGCTGCTCGACCAGGACCTTGACTATAGTCTAGAGAATTTGCTAGACTACTGACGGTAGAGATGAAAGTTTCTCCAATTGCTACGAGAGTTGCACGATGGGTCACCAGTGTATGAATGCTCATATGATGTTGCTGGTGGGGAATCTTCAGAACAAGCTTGCAGAAATGACGATCGAAGCAGGTAACGCGAACCATGATGATGCGAGTCAACCTTGAAGACAAGGTTGGTTTCAAGTGAGAAAGTATGATGGAAACATGGGTTCCATCTCATTTTTATATTTGAACAATTATATATACTTTGTGGTATTTTTTAGATTATTGAAATATTTGAATACTTTTTAGAGGATTGTGGGTGTCATTTGGTGTTTTTCGTAATAGGGGTTAATTGTGGATTGTTTAAGTGAATTTCTCAGGTTATATATTATGCAATTCTTGTCCACATCCAGTAAACCAAATACAGAATAATAATTATCTCTAAACCTAAGTTTAGTGTAGTGACAAAATGATATTATGTTAACTCAGAGGTGTAGAGTTCATTCCCCTATAAATGTGTGTATATGGGGATTAACTGCATTTTTACCCGAAATTATATGCGTCAGTGACACACCTAAGTGAGTCTGGCTCCACCTATATATTTTTTCTTTGTTTGTTAACTCAGAACATAGTTAGTAAAATACGGTACGGGTAAGTTACATATAAATTGTGGACATAAGGGTTCTATTTGTAGTAAAAGAACTGATTAAATATGAGTATTAAACGTGTTATACGGGTTCTATTTGTGTTTATTACGGAATTCATAAAATGAACTGAGAAAAATGAAATTGTTTGACAAATGACTATAGTACAAAAATGAAAGTTTTGAATGTATAAAATGCATAGTTCATATGAACAAATATTAATCGATATATTTACTAACTATATCTTAAAATTCGAACCTAAAATGCGGTGAATACTCATTCACATATAAATCTCAATCTTTTGCTACCAAAATTAATAAATAATAACTAGAGTTTGTATTCCGAAGCTAATATACAACCTCATGAGAACCCCCCAAGGAATTTACATTAAAAAAAAATTAAAAAAAATAGTGGCAAAAGTTGTGGCGAAAAATAAACAAAGTTTTTTTTTTAAAGAAGAATCCCTTTTGCAGACAGATATCGAGGCTCGATGGCATCCTTTTCCTTGATTTTTTAGTGAGTATATATATATATCATTATTGGTTTCGCATATTGTTGCTGTTGCATGAGGCATTTGATATCATGATTACACTTAGGCAGATGATCTGAACAAAATCTTCATCAAAAGACTGTGCTGCGAACCACCCACACCAATCCATGTGCCAAATATCCATGCATTGGCCAGCAGGTAAATCTTTAAAATTAGTAACCCTAAACCTATTTAATTATCATCCTCATTTGGATTCTCATTTCTCTCTGTGCCTCTCAAACACCAAAAGGTCATCTATCTATGTTTTCCATTTTCTCCAGCAATCTATGGGGTCGTTTGGAAGTTGCGTATGTTAAATCGTTGTATTGTTATGAATCACTATCATATAAATGCATGCATTGATACAATAGATGCATTTTGAAATTACATTATTTGGTTGTTGAGATTATAATTTATGAATTGATTGTTATAAAGTTACTTTATAAAGAAATGTCATATTTTTCCTCCACTTTTAATATAAAACAAAAAGAACTATGGACATAATTGGAAAAAGTAAAGGTGCTCAATTATTAAACCAACAATCACAACAATCTCAACTTTTAGTTGAGATTGTACAATCCCTCATTTTTGTTGATTGTTGGTGGGACCCACACAAAACAATACATTCATTGTTTTGCAACTTGACACTTCCAAACGTTGTATTGTGGACAATACATGTATTTAACAAATACAACACTAACAATCGCAACTTCCAAACGAACCCTATATTTATTTGATATCAAACACCAAAACAGGGATTTACAGGCTCCATGCACGATCCATTTATATCCTTGGTAGTTTAATTTATTAACGTGGGCCAGTGATGATTGTGGAAATCCAAGGCGTAAAGCAAATCCATCTCCTCATGGAAGTAATTATTATAATAGATCATCACAGCAAAGAGGGAGGGAGAGAGAAGTACTGTAAACTGTAGAGGCAAAAGGGAATTTGGACGGTTGTGCCAGTTTTTCCAAGAGAGTAGGCACTATATAGGCAAGTACAAAATGGTAATTTGCCATCAAGCTGGCAGAGCGAGGGATGGGAGATGGGATTGGGTGGGAGGAGGAAAGACATATTGAAAAGCCTGGAAGATGCCACCACACCAGCATCACTGCACCAGCAGAGAGAGAGAGAGAGAGAGAGAGAGAGAGAGAGAGAGAAATATATTACTCTCTATATATATTTGCCAGCTATTGCATCAGACTCTGAGGAAAGGAAAGGAAAGGAATGGTATGCCCACAATGGCAGAGCTGGCTTTGACTAGCTAGGGTTTTGACCAGCCTTTCTGATAAGAGAGAAAGAAAGAAGACGAGAAGGACAGTGGGGAAGGAAGGAAGGGGTCCGTGACCATGAGCATAGCACAGGAAAGAAAGGCTTTCTCGTTGACTGACTGGTCCCTATCGTTCCAACTTGTTGGACAATAGCCTGCCTGCTCCATTTTAAGGGTACAATACAAAGTGCAAACTTATAACTAGGGCGGCAAATGAGTCGAACTGTTCGCGAGCGGCTTGGTGTTCAACTCGAGAAAAGCGCGTTCGAAACTCGACTCGTTAATAAACGAGCCGAATACGAGCTCATCTTTGTTCAACTCGTGAAGCTCGCGAGCTAGCTCGATTCGGTGGCTTGTTGAGCTAAACTCGTGAGTTGGCTCGTTTAGAGCTCATGATATGTCTTAACATGTGGCTAGAGAGCCAACTCGATTACCAACTTATGGACAAATCAATATATATCTTATGATTTTAATTCATATGGTTGTTAAATTATATATCTCACCATATATAAAGTTTAACACTTTGAGTATGTGAGCAAATATATCTTATTTTCTATTTTAAAAAGAAATTATGCATCATAGATTGATTCGATACTATGAAATAACATGATTTGGAGTAGTTAAAATTTATTAACTAAATGATATATGATACCAACAAATTATAATATGAAATTAGCTAACAAAATAAATCATATGTATCATAATATACAAAATGAAGTACCATAAAAGTTAAGATTTTAATTCGACTCGACTCGTTAATAAACAAACTGAACCGAGCTCGACTCGTTTATTAACGAACCGAACTCAAACTGGGATAAAACTCGACTCAACTCGACTCATTTGCAGCCCTACTTATAACATAATAACAACAGCAAGCTTAAAGAGAAGAGAGGATATCCATCCAAACAAATGGTAAATTACATCATTTTCGCTGCTAGCTAGCTCCGCCGCTGCTGCCCCCAATCAATCACCTAGCTATCTATCTTTTCTCACGAACTAGATCGGGCGGACGGGCGGGCGGGCCTATTCTCCTCCGTCGGCTTCTGCGGCGCGGGTATTTTGTTGTGCCATTAACAGGCCACGTTTCAGTCCCGCGGTCAGTGTATGATATTGGCATTTTCGATATCACACAGGTAGGCTGTGACTTGTCAATAAATTAAGCAGAATCGGAACACAAGAATTTTTTTAACATGATACCGTCACTATAACATTACTGAACGGCTGTTTACAACTGGGTACCTATAATTATTAACACTCTCTGATAAAGCACCAGGGGTACTTTGTGATCAAAATTACGCAGCAACGAATCAATTCAAAGATTGAATTGATTAAACGGAATTTCGAAACAAAAAACAAGGATGTTCTTGGGTCACTACAAGAAAAATGACAATTAGAGGCTATGTGTATTTGCTACGATAAGCCATTTATGTGCCGCGATAGCTTTATAGCGGCACAAAAATGTGTGCTGTCAATACTGCTGCCCGCTAAATCTCTTTAGCAACAGATGTTAGCGGCAAATATTGTATGTCGGTAATTGCTCAAATTTGCGACATATAGTTTTGTTGCTAATTTGACTTTTGATTGACAATTTGATTGTCCTTTCTTCTCACTTTAGCGGCTTAAATTTTTGCCACTAATGTTGTATTTGGCTGCACATATTTTTGCTACCTTAGTTTGTTTTGGGGACAATTGTAATTGTCTCTAAATTACTCTACAGAAACAAATTATGTGCCTCTAATAGGTAGTTTTTTGTTGCTAATTTCACCTTTATATAACTATTTTCCTATTTTCAAAGGCGTATGTACAGCCTCTAATTCTAATTTTAGTGGCACAAATACTTAATTCCCTTTTTTTTAAATGCCTAATTCCCACATTTGTAGGCCGACAATTTTTCTGGATAGGTCGAACTATTGGAAGCAAATGGAAACTCTCGCCTACTCACCTATATTTACGATCGCCTCCCCTTAACAGGAGACTCGAGCTTGACTTACCTGACTGTCCCACCTGTGACGCCGCCCTCTAATGTCTTGTTTGTAACAATAACTTGTTTTCGTGGTACTGATGAGGAACTTTGTAGTAGATATTAGCCCGCGCTCTGCTGCGAAAATAAGGAACAATATTCAACATAGATTTTAGATATGGGTATATATATCTTGGATTTCTGAACTGTTTAACTTTTAATCTTTGATTTATATGACATCAATAATATAACTTTCATAAAAATCACAACAAAACCAATAAGACTTATAATAGTAAAATAATGACACGATATTTGGCTCGCGGAAAGCTTTTCTTTGTTACTTGAACTCTCATCTCCAACTCAAAAAAAATGGGCTCGATCTAATATTATATTTCATCAAATTTTGTCCACTATTAAGTGTCTAGTAATGTTTCCATTGTTATAAGATACGAAGCCGATCAGCGACTCGATCAGTAGGATCAATAAATCAGTTACAATAGTGGTTTTGTTATTTTATTAGACAATTAAAATAAATCCAACAATTTTTAACGGGTTGACATTAAATCAGATGAACCACCCCGTTTAACTTATCCATAATTTTAACCACAAAAAATTAAGGAAAATAAATACTTAAACATAAACTAAGATTATCCAACAACAATCACTAATTTTATTTATACTTCTTTTCTTCATTTCCCACCCCTTGTCAGCTTTATGTGGTACACTATCAATTGTCACCTTGATTACTAACTTCAATTTAATAAATAAAAACTTGTTTGTTTTTTTAGATAATTTGAATACTTTGCCAGAATTTTTTGGTGATAGATGATATGTATTCGAATTTTTATATGGTTAGTGATAATTTTACTCTTCAATCAGTGTATTATATGTCTTTTATATGCTAACGCATAAACGGTTCTATCAATGGTTAATCAACAATTCTATAATGATTAATCGTAGGATTATCGACCACTTAACTTTTCCGATTCAAACATCCGGTACCGTTCTGAAAACATTGGATTATTCATCTAGAATATATCCACAAATGCCCATGATTTCTCATCATAAGCCACGCATGTACTTCTATGGATACTTGGAGAAGCAGCAAATGATACTTGGCCTCCATAAATTACACAATAAAAAAAATGGCAATCCCATTCACAAAGAGGAATAAGTTAACTGTTAGGATGGTGCTAGTTGAGATATGAGATTAAGGATTCCAAGTGGGGACAGGAGAGGAGAAAGCTTTTCATATCAGCTGTTGGTATTGATTGGCATAAGAAGTGCATCCTTCTGATCTGTCATCCAACGACGGCAAAGCCTCTTCACTGATGCCTCAACCTATTTCGCCAAACATCCTTGTCCATGGCGCTCCAGATCGATGACTTCAGTAGATATCCCATTCTTGAACCAGAAACCTACGTTCATAGAGCTCTGAATGGTACAATCATAGGATACATCTAGTTCTGGTCTCTTTGGTCCATAGATACATATATAGAAGAAGAAGAAGAATTCTGGTCTCTTTGGTCCATAGATAGATAGATAGAAGAAGAAGAAGAAAAGAAGAAATGTAGCCGCCCTTGGGAAACTTCTGATGCTTTGAATTCTAGGGGTTGTGCCCTTTGAATTCTAAGATAGATAGATAGAAGAAGAATAATAATTGTAGCCGCCCATAGGCAGCTTCTGATGCTTTGAATTCTAGGGGCTGTGCGCTTGAGAAGACGATAAGATGGGTTTTAGTTTGAGTTTTTGGTGTGAAAATAAAGAGAAGTTTGGCCAGCCTCTGGGAGATCTACGGAGGGAATTTCACCATCACTTTTCTAAAATTCAATGGAAGGTTTGTTTTGGTGGAACAACGGAAGGTGTATCTGCATAATAGAGCAGCAAATACTAAACATAGAGTTAATGACTTAGCTAGCTGCAGGTAATTAAATGGGTTATAGGTATAATATGTCCCTCTACTATGACGTTTTATCAAACATGCATCTCTACTATTTTTTACGTTAAACATGTCCTTGTACTTTGAAAAACTTATCAAACATGCCCTTTTGCTAAAATTTCCATCCAAAAACCGTTAACCAAGACCGAACTTTGGTTTGGGCGACCCAAAAATCTCTAATCATTTCACTTTAGAGTTTTTTTTCTTCTTTTGTATAGCCAAATAATTATAATAATTTCACTTTGATGAGACCTAGAGAAATAAAGCAAGGGTCAAAACTGACATTTCCCCTCCCATTTATCGATGTCAGGTCATCTAAATCTCGGTTCAACCATGATTGACGATTTTTTCAATGGAAATTTCAACTGAAGGACATGTTTGATAGTTTTTCCAAATTACAGGGGCATGTTTGATGTAAAAAATAGTAAAGGGGCATGTTTGATAAAACGTCATAGTAGAGGGGCATATTATACCTATAACTCTAATTAAATATATGGAGTAGGGAGGTACACCGTAGGGGCTGCTGTAGCAGAAAACCCCATAAAAATTTAAATAAAAACTCGTGAAGAGTGACCCGGCAAAATCGTAATGAACGGTAATTATCATTAGATTACTTGCGACCTAATAATAATAATAATAATAATAATCTCTTAAATCAATGAAACAACTGAACGCAGAATTTAAATTAACAATTAGAAAAGTAGAACAACATATTTGTGTATCCATGAATCAAATCGCTGCAGGGATATAAACATCCCAAATAGAAACAATAACACCAACGGGATTCAATAGGCCGCTATTTTTCTTTCATAAAACCCTCTCTAAGTCTCTAGAGTCCAGATCCATTATTGCCGTTGGGGCTGCCGTCGGCTTCCCTTTGGACCGGCGGTAGCCCTCCTCTTTTTTTTTTCCCTCCTTTTTTCATGCTTTCGGCTCCTCTCTTTTTGCCGTTTTGCCTTTTCCTGCTGCTCTTCTTCCCGTCTTTGGCGTTTGTCTTTCCTTGCTCCTTTTCTGTTCTTCTCCCACCCTAAAGGTGATGATTTTCATGTCTCCCTGTGAGATGCTTTTGTTCCCCACCTTGCTGATTTTTCCAGATCTGTGTGGATGTCCCCTAGTAGGTGTTTGAGGGGGCCGATTCTTCGGTTCGGTTGCTCCTTTCTGATCTGCCATCTACCTCCACATGCTTCATCCATAAATGGGGATGATTCGGAGATGCCGGACCTTTGTTGTCTTGGATGATTTTTCAGGGAGCTTGTGAGCAGGGATGATATCTTTGAAGTTGAGTTTCGGCCATTATGCTCAGTTTGGCGGTGAATCAGTCGCCTTTCCACTGTCCGTAGCCGGGATTTATCCTCTGGTTTGCTTGGTTTTGCAGGTAGATCTCGGAGCTGGTTCTTGGTACAGTTCCCCCCGGCAGACCTGATGCTTTCTGCCTTGTCGGCACATCATCCTTCAGTTGGAGCGGCTGGTGATTCACCCATCGTTTCCCCGGTGAAGGTCTTGGTGTGGACAGAGCAGTTGTGGCGGCGCTGCCCTGGCGGTGGGGAATGCTGATGGTTGCCACTTTTTGGGTATTTGGGCCGCTGGATTAGGGTTACTAAGGGGGTGGGCTTGTCCATTTGTTTGGATTGGGTTTGGGCTCTTCGGGTTTGGGCCTTTTCTATCCACTTTAGTACCCTTTTCTGTTGGTTTTTTCCTTCTTCTCAGTGTTTTTTTAACTCTGTACACCGTGTTTCGTATTAATAAAACAACCAACCAACGTTCAAAAAAAAATTCAATAGGCCGCTCGTTCGCAAAGATGAAAGTAATTTGGCCTGAAGTAGACTTTAATTTCTTGCACCTGTTATTGCATGATTGTGATGCATTATCAATTTCGGCCGCCCATTATCATTATCATTATTATGAGTTTGTTAGTCAGTTTTGGTTATTGTTTAGGAATGGTATTAATTATTAAAGTATTTAAGGTAGTTTCTTTAGGATTAAGTTACCGTATCCTTGTAGGATTGGTAAGTGATTAGGTTTTCCGGTTCTACTATAAATATGTACTTAGTTTCTACGTTTTAATCATCAATCAAAGAATAATAAATCAGTATTTCAGTTTATTTTAGTTTTAGTTCGTACGATTACGCGATGGACGAACCGATCGTCCATCAATTGGTATCAGAGCCTGGTTCGACGGAACCGAGCTCTTACCAGCTCGCAGGGCAGACATCGTCGACGTTCAACCACCAACGTTTGGAAAAGGTCATGCTCGCAACCACGATCCGCAGCGACAAGGTGGACAGATCGCCTACCGAGGCGCCACCAACGAAGAAGCTAACCGTAGCTTCGCCATTTTAGATCCACGAACCGCCGGATAAATCTCCTATGCCGATCAATGCCAAGGTCTCTTTTTCTACTGTTACCGGAGAGTGAAATTCAGCAACCCTTCGACTCGACACAACAGTCCATCGAGGACCAGTGGTTGCCCTAGTCGATGGTTTTTTGACGCACAACTTCATAAACCCCGACGTCGCCAAGGGTTTAGCCTTGCCGGCTACACCAATTCCTCCGTTCAAGGTCAAGACTGCAAACGGGGAATTCTAGGATTGTGAGCGCTGTTACAAGGTCGTTCCGATTCACGTACAAGGTGTATGGCTTGAAGTAAACTCGTACAAACTTCCGATTCATGGGGTTGATCTCGTCCTCGACCATGAGTGGCTCAAACAAGTGGCAACGGTAACAACGGATTGGGAAAATTCAGCTATGAGTTTCTGGTGTAATGACGTAAGGGTCACCGTGCGAGGTTTTTGCAAGGCCACCAAGAGGATTGCGGAGTTCAAGAAGCTTCAACAAGAGCGTGATCGACGACGTCGTGAAGCAGGTCCAACGACTCAAGCACTGTCGAGCGGTGCTGTGACTGGAAGCTCCGTACCACCGCGATCGACCACGGTCACGCCTGAAGGACGAGAGGCCGTTGCGGTTACCGTTGCTGTACCCGTATTACTTAAGCCAGCGTGTAGCCACGCCGCTACCAAGAAGCTTCAAGACTCCAAGCCATCACCGCCGTTGTTGAAGTCGCTAGACGCCTCGCCTGCCGATGTCGTTGATGTTGCTGCGGCACCGCATGGACTTGGGGAATTCAAAGAAGAAGCTATCAATACCCCTGCGGCACGTAATAAAGATTCAGCTCCTTCTAACTTTCCTTTCGCTATAGATATATCTTTGCATCCATATGTTTTGATTGAGCTGGTGGTACGTGAGGGTGAAGGAATACATGAGGAGTGGCTTTTGGAGGATGGGTATATTTCTTGGTCAGAAAGCATCATGTGTTTCGATCCGGGTGGGAATGATTTGGGTCGGATTGAAGCTGTTAACATTGACAGATTGGATTGGGTGTTGAAGCTGAACTGGAAATATCGAAAGCGTAGGCTCTGGTGTCTAACTCTCACTGTCGTTCATCACAAGATGCGCTGAAACTTCTTCCTCATTGAACCGGGTGGAGACATCGCTCGAACTTCGGGGACGAAGTTCTTCGAAGGGGGGAGGATTGATGCATTATCAATTTCGGCCGCCCATTATCATTATCATTATTATGAGTTTGTTAGTCGGTTTTGGTTATTGTTTAGGAATGGTATTAAGTTACCGTATCCTTGTAGGATTGGTAAGTGATTAGGTTTTCCGGTTCTACTATAAATATGTACTTGGTTTCTACGTTTTAATCATCAATCAAAGAAGAATAAATCAGTATTTCAGTTTATTTTAGTTTTAGTTCGTACGATTACGCGATGGACGAACCGATCGTCCATCAGATTGCTGTTGTTGCTGCAAGATCAAAACAACAGCAATCAGTTAATTAATTCAACATAAGAGATTGAATTACAAATCGTCATCAACTTAGAACAAGTTACCTTAGATATCAACTTCAAGCATAAACTATTGGCCTTGGATACGATGCTGGTTCCTGAGAAGGGAATATTCAAATTAGGACTGAGGCCTGTAAGTTGTAACTCCAGGATGAAGATATTGGAAGGGAAATCCCAAATCAAATTAAGAAACAGCCAAAAAGAAATCGCACCAGATAAGAATGAAAGGGGATCGATGCCAGAGATAATGTGAAGTAGTTCGACGGAAATCTGCAGCGTTCAAGATGTTTTCACGAGGATAAAGAGGAGAAGGATCGATATGAACTACGTTCCCCGCATTGTTTGCAATGGACGAGTGCCTATAGCGACTATGAATACAATGATTCGACGGTTTGACGATTTGATCTCGACGGGAATGGCCGCAACAAGACGCTGGAGAAAGAATAACAAACATGTGCAGAAAGGGGTCAGAGATTTACAATCTAGGGTTACATAGGAGCCCCTTCAGTAAAGGAATATTAGATTCACGGTGCAGTTACTGTGAGCCGAGTTTTTTTGGCTCAATAAATAATATTTTAATTTAAAGTAAAATCTTTTTTTCTCATATTATTTTAACGAAAGATTAAGTGATTAACAGAGGCGGATTAGTTTGCTGGGGAAAAGATATATGTTTAGAGGCACATTACTTATCTGAATTTTTCTTCATTTAACTGTAAATTAGAAGGCCATAGCAACTTTTTTATTTGTCTCGAAAAAGTTGGTTTTTCCCATAGATAGTTTTTTCCTCTAAAAGGAAACGAGCCAAGACTTTAACGGCCATTACTAGAGAATTTGTCGGTAAAGCAGCAATTTACTTTCATTGATATTAAAATAAAATAGGGTTATAGGTATAATATGCCCCTCTACTATGACGTTTTATCAAACATGCCCCTCTACTATTTTTTACTTCAAACATGCCCTTGTACTTTGAAAAAATTATTAAACATGCCCTTATGTTAAAATTTCCATTGATAAAATCGCCAATCATGGTTGAACCGAGATTTAGACGACCCGACATCGGCAAATGGGAGCGAAAATGTCAATTTTGTCTCCCGTTTTATTTCTCTGGGTCTCTTCAAAGTGAAATTATTTGAATTATTTGGCTATACAAAAGAACAAGAAAAAATTCTAAAGTGAAATTATTAGGGATATTTTAGACATTTGTGCCGCCCAAACCAAAGTTCGACCTTAGTTAACGGTTTTGGGATGAAAAGTTAAACAAAAGAGCATGTTTGATCATTTTTACAATGTACAGGGGCATGTTTGATGTAAAAAATAGTATAAGGGCATGTTTGATAAAACGTCATAATAGAGGGGCATATTATACCTATAACCCAATAAAATAAAAATTGAACTATAAACGACAGAGTTTGATCACTTTAGGGGCAATTTACATATTTGTTGTTAGAGGATAGTTTTAAAGGTATTTATAATATTGCCACCATAGTTTAGCCACTAAAAGTCAATTTTCTTGTAGTGGGTGTTTGGATATACTCGGTTAGCTGGATGGATAAGCCGAGTTGGATTCGAGTTTGGGAGGCGAAGATCCCTCCGAAGTTGAAGGTGTTTGTTTGGCAAATTCTTAATCGGGCTCTGCCGATTACGGAGGCGCTTATTGAGAAAAAGGTCCAGGTGCTACCTCGGTGTCCAGTTTTTTTGGATGGCCCGGAGACAATGGAACACATGTTCCTTTATTGTCCGGTTGCGCGGGCCCTCTGGGATTATTCTGGGCTGGAATACTTGGGGGAGGGGTTGCCTCGACATACTTTTCCTTTGTTTCTCAAACGTCTGTTGGGTTTGATCGATCAACCGTCAGTGGTTATGGCTGTTGTTGCCATCTTTTGGAGGATCTGGCGATCTCGGAATTGGGTAGTCTTTGAATGCAAACAATTTGGGATCCCGGCGCTCATGCGACAGTTTAACCAACAGTATGAGGAATGGGTGGGTCTACCAGCGGACCAGGCACCTAGGCCTCAAATCCCGATAATGCAATCTCCAACGCAAGTGGGTGATTCCCATTTGGTTTGCATGTGGGACGGAGCTACTAAGGGTGTGTCACATTCGGCTGGTGGGATGGTTCTTTTTGACCCAGCGCGGACTCTCCTTCTGGCTAGAGGGGTCCAGTTTTCTCAAATGGATGATCTTGTAGTGGTGGAATTGCTTGTGCTTAGGGAAGCGATTATTTGGTGTGTGGAGCAAGGTTTGTCGGAGGTCCATTTTGAGGGCGATGCAAAGGTGATTATTGACAAAATTAATCAAGCCGACACAAGAGATAGCAAGTTGGATGCTGTTTTGGAAGAGATTGCTCATTATTTTCGTACTCAGCCTGGTTTTAGTGTGCGTTTTGTAGGTCGGGAGAACAATAGGGTAGCTCATTTGGTAGCTAGGAAAACCCTATCTTTGTATCCGACTATGAGTCGCTTCTTTGATTTCCAGACCTGGCTGGTTTCCAGGGTGTAACTGTCTATTTTTTCGATCAATACATGATATCTTTTGACAAAAAAAAGGTGTTTGGATAAAACGGAATCAAACGTGCAATCTTTCATGTGGGAGAAGGCTCGAATGAAATAAAGGTAGATGCCCGCCCACGATCAATATGGTTTTGATCGATACAGAGCTAAACTTGAGCTTGGAATCCACCAAAGCTCTCAAAAGTATGCAACTTGCACAAAACCAAACGGTTTCTTTTTTATTCAACATAGTCTACTTTACAATGTGAATTGAAAGGTATTTAAAGACAATAAAAACCTAATACAAACCCATAGAACTAGGGCAATAAATATGGTAAAAACAAACCCTAAAAAGAACACAAAATTCGGCCACAAACTCTCTTTCTTCAAGCACAAGTAAGCTGCCTTTTAGCACAAGCAAACTGCCAGAAAAACAGTTTTCGTACTAACTTCGTGTCATTCGTTCGAGGCGTTCCAGAATTCCAATCCTTCATGCAATTCCTTCCCTTGATAGACAAACATACCTATTTTCATGCCGTGGAAACCTTTGTACTTGAATCACGTCCATGCTCTTCGAATCGAGCTCCAAAGTAGGCTTCACAAAACAGTTTTCTGACAGACAAATTCTGCCAGTTTTCAGCTTTCCCGATAACAACTTTAGACGCTTGGAAAATGACCGTATGGACTTTCTCTTGGGCTACCAAGCATACCACCGTGTAGATAATCTTCTTACCTTCAAAACAATCTATCAAACTCAAATTTTCATTGAGCCAATTGTGAGAACCAAGCCTCCAAAGTAGGCCACCTGAAACAGTGAAAATACTTAACCAAAACTTAATGTTCTTCAAGAAGTTTGAGTTTGCTTCCATTTCAAGTAATTGTGACTCGTATATTGGTCCAATTTGGATCATATCACCCTCCCTCAAATTGATGTTTGGTACGTAACATCAATTTGCCAGATAGGTACTAGTGTCTACTTGAAGATACAACCTTAGTGAGAATGTCTGCAATCTGATCTTCAGTATTCAGATAGCTAATATGTATAATTCCCTCTGCCACCAGCTGACGGATATAATGCACATGAACTTCTATGCGCTTAGTTTGATCATGCAGGACGAGGTTGATGGCTATCTGAATTGCACTCGTGTTGTCTCCATACAGGCGCATATGCATTCTACAAGCAACACCAAGCTCAAGAAACAATCTCTGCAGCCAGACCATCTCGGAACTAACCTCAGACATGGACCTATACTCTGCCTTAGTAGATGATTTGGACACCCTTTCCTATTTACGACACCGCCATGATACAAAGGCTTTGCCAAACCGAATACACCATCCAGAAGTAGATCTCCGTGTATCCAAACATCCAACATATTCTGCATCTGCAAATGCCTCAATCACTGCCTCCCCTCCTACAGGGAAGAAAAGTCCAACCTCTATAGTATGCTTGAGATACCTAAGAAGCCGATGGACTGCATCCAAATGAGTAGTACGCGCCATGCCCACAAATTGGCTCAAAACCTGAACGGTGTAGGCAATATCTAGCCTAGTATACGTGAAGTAGATAAGACTACTCACAACACTGCGATAAAAAGTCTGGTCATCAAGAAGATCCCCATTAGAACGACTCAGCTTCAGGTTCTGTTCCATGGGAGTAGCACACCACTTGCAATCTGCATACTCTATGGCCGCCAATAAGCCGGTGATATACTTCCTTTGACATACCAAAATACCGGACTTGGACTGTTGAACTTCCAATCCCAGAAAATAAGATACATAACCTAATTATTTGATATTGAAAACCGTATGGAGATGTTTAGTTAGTTAATGAATATTGTCCTGGTCATCTCCTGTAACAATCATGTCACCGACATAAATCAACATAACTGTAATGCCCGAAATTGTCTGTCGCGTGAATAAAGAAGGGTCAATGTGAATATGTGTAAAACCAGCCTGCAGAATAGTGCTATGGAATTTCTCAAACCACACCCTAGACGCTTGTTCAACCCATACAACGCCCGCCCCATGGCAAGTCGGGTCCAGGTCGGGTAATTTATCACGGGTCACAGGTCGGGGCAGGTCGACCCAATAGGCAAGAATGGGTCGAGAATGGGGCGGATCAGGGCAGGTCGGGTCGATGAGAGTACCCATGCCCGCCCCGCCCCGCCTACGGGGCGGGTCGTACCCGCCCCAAAACAGGTCAAACAGGTCAGGTCGAAATTGCCATCCCTAGCAGGAACGCATTCTTGACATCCAGTTGATGAAGAGACCATGATTTACTGGCTGCCACAGCAAGAACACTACGAACCGTTTGCATTTTGGCCACCGGAGCAAACGTTTCGTCATAATCTATCCCGAATTCTTGCCAAAAACCTTGGGCTACAACTCGAGCCTTAAATCGCTCAATAGCACCATCGTGCTTGATTTTTAGAGCATAAACCCATTGACTTCCAATTACAGATATCTTTGGGCAATGAGGAACGAGATCCCATGTATGAGTAGCTTCCAACGCATAAAACTCTTCATCCATGGCCGCATTCCAGTTGGGATCATCCTTCACCTCTCGATAATGTTTAGGAATAAGGATAGACTCAGTGGAGTAACCCACACAATCATAATCCAGTAGCTTGCTTGGCAGTTGGCCACGCGTGCTTTATTGGGATCGCCTGGGAGCAGGTAATGGAGGAGGGGAAATTTCCATCGCATCATGCGATGAATGCCCTGATGAAGATGGCATGGTACTGCTGGAATGTGAACAGGCAGACCCCGCATATGAAGACTGCCGAGAGGAAGTAGAAGAGGGGGATGTGTTCTCGGTTGGCTCTGAAGAGGAATGGGATGAGGAAGCTTTGGAGGTGGCCCAATAGAAGGAGTGCCAGGAGGTGAGGTTCCATAATGAGTAGTAGAGGGATCATCATGTGGGCCAACAGCTGCGGGAATGGGAACATGATCAAAGGCACGTAAGCTCTCAAGGAAAGCAAGAGAGTTATCACTAGTTTGCTTTTCCACGGGATAATGCATAACCTGCTCCAAGAAAACGACATGACAGGAGATTCGTATTCGCCGAGCAGCCGTATCATAGCAAAGATAACCTTTATGTTTTTTGTTGTACCCCACGAAGACACACTTAGCTGTCTTCGGATCGAGTTTGTTCTGCTCTTTTTTGGGAAGTAAGACAAAACAAACACAGCCGAAGACGCGCAAGAATGAGTAATCCGGTTGCTTATGATAGAAAAGGTAATACAGCCAATGGTTCTCTATTGTCAAGGAAGGCTAACGATTTATCAAGTAACTGTGTTGATCGCCTCGACCCATAAATTGTGAGGAACATGCGAGTGAAACAACAAGGCTCGAGTTAATTCAAGGATGTGTCTGTGCTTGCGTTCCACCAGCCCATTATGTCGTGAGACTCCCGGGCAAAACTGTTGAAACATAATACCCTGTGACTTATATAACAATCCAGTAGTTTATTCGTGCTGAATTCCTCTCCAAGATCATATCTAATGACCTTCACAGTGGTTTTAAACCGAGTATGGATCATCCGGATAAATTCCCATGCATAAGTTATTAGTTCTGATTTCTGACGCAGAAAATAAATCCATATATATCGCGTAGCATGATCAATAAACAAGGCAAAGTAGCGATAGCCCAGACGAGAAATAATAGGAGATGGTCCCCACAAATCTGTATGAACTAGGTCGAATGGAGACTCATATGTTGTAGTACTCAAAGAGAAAGAGGATTGAGAAGCCTTAGCTTCAATACAGCTAACACAAGTAGAATGATGCATAGAAATCGATGAATCCATATGAATCTGGTAATAAATTATTCCGGAACATACTGTATAATCGAGCAGTATGAGGATGACCCAACCGACAATGCCATAATTCCCAAATAGTACCCTTAACAGAAAAATTCAATGGTTTAATAGAACATCCCATGATCCCAGTACAACTACTCCACAATATTTCTCCAACACCCTCTTATCGTGTCAAATCCTACGACAGCCGCACACCATAACTCCCAGTTGACTTCTCATATTGATTCAACACGAAAAGTCAACCTTGCTTACTTCCCGTCCCTATTACCTTCCCTGTCATCTGATCCTGCACAACACATCCACATGAATTAAAAGTAACCTTACACTCCTCTTCAGCCAACTGCCCAACTAAGACCAAATTAGGCACCAACTTTGGTACGTAGAGAGTATTAGGAAGAGTAAATAATCAATATGCTCGTCATGACGTGTGAACATAACTCATCTATATTCCATTATCTTTGGAGGCTGCATCTAAAACCTCTTCGTTCTCCTTGCCTCAGTTTCCACATGACATGTAAAAATAACTCATACATGCAATTTTTTTGTAGGAAGACAGACACCATAGGCGTGCCAATTCGTATAAGTAAAAGTCATTCTTGGATGATTCCAATTACATTAAAAAAAGACAGTGACTAAACTCAATATAAAACATCGATTAGGTGGGTACCAAAAGGAAAGTCGCGTCCTTTGTTAGCTAAGTAGCCAGCACTAAGAAGCGCAGTTACATTAACTCAATCGTTCATCATGCCATCAAAACTACTCATAGCAAACAATAGGGAATGAAGAGAATGCTTTATTCGGGCCTAATTGTACACATTTTACCCTGTTTCCCTTGGGCGTTTATGGCATTTGTGCTTCTAAAAGGGTGGTTTTACGCTAGGTTTTGTGTGTTTTAGGATCTAACAGGTGAAACCAGCCCTGGAGTCAAAAGTTGGAAGAAAAGGAGCAAAGACCGGGCAAAGGGAGTGATAGGCCATGTTCACGGTTTCCCATTGGAGTTCATGGTCTCCTAAGGCCGTGAACTGGAGCCAACCGTGAACCACAAAGAGTCTAGGCAAATTCAGAGGTTACTGACACAGAGTGAGTTCACGGTCACCAAGACCGTGAACTTTGAGTGCAAACCGTGAACTCAAGTGAGTGAAGCGTTGCGTTTCGATACAACACTCCGAGTTCACGGACACGTTGAAGAGTTCACAGTCGTGAACTGAGCTCGATCTCAGTATAAAATGTCAGCTGAAAGGAAGAAGAGGGGAGCTTCATTTTTAGGTTAGGTTTTCATTTTCAGAATAAAGAGGATTCTAGTGAGAGGTTAGGGTTACTTTTAGAGTGAGAAAGTGCAAATCAAGGAGGAAGAAGGAGCTTTGGGCTTGTTCCTCGCTAGAGGATTGAAGATTTCTTTATCTCAAGGGTGTCTCAAGCAACAAAGAGGAAGGATTGGCATCACTTAATGGTTCTTTCTTCCCTTTTTGTTGTTTTCCTTTGTCTAGCTATGGAATAGCCTACCTACTCACTTGGGTATTGTGAACCCTAGTCTTTCTATGTGTTAGGATGTAAGAGCATGAACCTATGGTGTTGTTTGAGTGTTGTATATGATATTTGAGGTTTTATTCATGAATGATTGAGTGTGCTAGCTTTAACTCAATATTGGGTAAAATTGACCTAGAGGGTGGAAATCCCCTTTTGGTCCAATAGGAAGCTAGACTTCTTAGGCACTTGGGTGTTTTTTCACCCATAAATTTTTAGATCCAAATAGATCATGATGAACTCGTTCCTTCTGTGCAAATATATTCAAAAACGACTTCAAAACGAAGGAGATGTCATACGGTATGGAGTTGGTAACGAGAGGTATGAAAAAATATTTCTTAAAAAATATTGAAAACATATATAATTTTGTAGAGCACAACAAACTCGTTCCATCTGTGCAAAAAAAAATTAAAATCCAAGTTAGAACAAAGAAGATAAGAGCTGATTAAGAAAAATAAAGAAAATAAAATGTCTTTAATTCTCCACTCTTAGATCTGAATTTTCTGAACCCACTTAAAAAGTAAGGTCCAGGTTTAGTTATGCACCCTAACTTGAGCCCTCATAATGAATTTCGCAGCTTCTATGGAACTCAATAGCGTTTTGCGATATAATCCTCAAAACTCGATCAGTTTAACATAGAACCAATTGATCTATTAATTAATTTTTAAAAATGAATTTACTAGTCGGCTCCAACACCCATTAACTTATTCTTGCGCAAACCAACAGTAATATTATCATCAAGGATTATATGGGTACAAATGTGAAGCATTAGTTTCGCAAGGAAATTGAATCAAACCAGACATGAGGGATATGTGGTTTGGTTATGGTCCAATCAATATTGGTTACTCAATTATCGGTTAACTACTTTATGGCTTATCAATAATAGAATCGATTACTGACGAGAATTAACGGGTAACTGAGTAATCGATTACTGGTTACCTGGCCGGTTAATCAGATAATCGACACTTAAATTCCCGAATGTCGAAATTGATAACAAAATACCATTGAAACCTTTTAAATTTTGAAATATGCCATCATACTTAAATGTTTCTTGTTTTTTCTCAAAATTGCTACATCAACCAAACAAACACCACTGCTCAGACTAATTTACGACTAATAGACTTTGGAACCTTGATAACACTTGCGGAGCTATGACCTCCGCACTGCTATCCCATTGTTCTTTCTTCGAGATTTCCTATTCCTCTTCCATGTCGTCTTCTTCTTCTTCTTCATTTGTCTCTTCATCCCTTATGAGCTAATCTCCTTTCTTGTTTGGATGAGATGAACTATAGCCATGTTTCTTTGAATTGATTGAATCAATATAAATGTAGATGTTTGTTTTCCTTTGATCTACCATTAACTTATCTTTTGCGTACCAATAATGGTCCCTATTGAATGCTAGTTTGTTTCATGTTTGGTTACATAATTATTATTAATTAACTTGATATGAAGAACTAAATAAAATGATACCCATAGAGTATATAAATATGTGATCAATTAATAATGAGCAGACAACTATTATTCTTTCTTTTTCATCATAAAATTTATATAATTTTTCATATATTGCATACACATATTAGGATATTTAGTTTATAAATTACGTTTGAGTTTAGTTTAGGTGTTCGAATAGTTAGAATGATAAATGAGTTAAACTGGACGAAACAAAGAAATAACCCCTCACGTGCTCGAGCTGAACTTATAAGCTAATTAATGAGCGGAACTTGAGTAGAGCTCGTGAGATCAAGTCAAATTAGAGTCAAACATTATCCAAGGTCCGACCAAACTTATTTCACCTCGTCTCATTCACAATCCTATCCCGAAGCGATCTTTAAAGTGAGGAGTTAAGGTTCTATCCAACACTCAAATAATCTTCATGGTTTAGGAATTTACCCGTGAAAATGAATAACACAACTCACAAAGAAAATCAGGAGATTAAAAAAAAAAATCTCAACTATTATGTTGATCCAAAGGCTTAACATTTTGTCAAATGAACTATATATATAATTTTGAGGCTATGCATTGCATCCGTCACCCATTTAATAACCTGTAGAATTTTTTATGGTACAACAAATTCAGAGCCCCCGCGGCAACCGTGTTAGTAATCGTCGGTAGGTTGAAGCGTTGAACGGCGGTGGAGGAATACACATTTGACATTACACACTGTCGTGGCGGAGCCGTCGAAACGTGGATTTTGTTGCGTCATAAACGTGGCAGAAAAGCTAAAAATAAACTTCTCGTCGGAGGTCGAATAAACAAACACATAAATTCATTTTACGGCAATTTCGTAGAAAAGAAAGAAAAGAACCTAAAATACACCAAAACCAATCGTTTCCTTGTAGTTGTAGGTTCCTCTTCTTCTTCTTCTTCTTCTTCTCATCCTTCACACAAAAGAGATCAAACCAAACCCAAAATAATCCTTTGATTGCAGACAATTCAGAAAGCAGACGAAGAAAAGTTAGAAGCTTCCTTCTCTTCCTCAACCTCTCTCTCTCTCCCTCTCGCTGTTTGTTGGTCGCCCAGGCCGCGTTCAACTCATCAACGCCGGCCACCCTCGCCAGCGAATTCGTCTGTGATCTTTTGTTTTATTTGATAACAGCAATTCCTTTGATCAATCGACATCTTTCCGGCCCGATTCGCGAGTAACCCACCACCACCACTTAGTACTCATGGCCACCACCGGGAACAAGAACATCAACGCTAAATTGGTGAGTCCTGATTCCTTGTCATCCGTGTTTCAATTGTGGGTTTTGTTAGGTGGGGGTTTTCTCCTTCGCTGTACTACCGTACCGATTCAGGGCCGCCGCCGCCCCGATCGTTTGCTGTGACTGATACAATAGCTTTTTGAGAGGTCTTTCTCTGCTTTTTGGGGGTTATTACTGAATTCGGATGTGGGTTTAGGTTTTACTCTTCTCGATCTCGTCCGTGTCGCCCAATTTTACATTTCAATTTTGGAGGTCCATTCTGTTGATGATCGACTTTGCTAGCTAGCGCCTTATACATCTCTGATCAGAGCTCATACAGCTGTTTCTTTCTCCCAGTTTCTGACTGGCGATGATTTCAGCACTGCATGTCGTTGTCGGTCTGAACTTTCTGGGACTTTCCCTTCCGTTGTTGAGGGCCCGTTTAACCTGCGGACGACTTGCTTATGCTTTCCTTGAGCTTGCTTGTTAATGTTCACCACGATGGGTTTAGAAGCATGGTTATCTTTTTTGGCTAAACTTGAATTAACTACGTTCAAATTCTGCTTTCCGGTTTGCCTACTACGGCGAACTCAGTTCATTGGACTGTTCGCTGCTACTGTATGTGCACAGCTTGTTGAAAGTACCCTTCTTACCTGCCACTTTCATAACTAAGTATATGAAGTGGTTCCCGAACAAATCTATCTCTAATAGGGTCAGTCAGCAATCTGATTTGCCTGGAAACTGGAAAGGTAGCAAGAACAGTGGGATTCTTCTCCAGCTTCTCTGGTTTTTGTTCTTTTTACTCAATTGATCGGAAGTTCTCTATTCTTGAGCCTAGTATCAATCGGCACTATAGTTGCTTAACCCTACCCGTTAAGATAGTTTGTTGTTCAAACATATGTTTTGCCATGTGTAGGTCCTGCTAATCTCAATGCGGCTTCTTTAGTAGGTTTCATATAGCTGCATTTGAACTTAAAGTGGTATTCAGTTTGATCGATTGAAAATATGTATCCTAACCAAACTTTAATATGATCCAGGTTCTCCTTGGCGACCCTGGTGCTGGAAAATCTAGTCTTGTTCTGCGATTTGTCAAAGGGCAATTTGTTGAGTTTCAGGTTGGTCCAAGGAATAATTTGGAGACTCATAACATTATCATTGCATCTTTCATGGTTGGTCTTTAAACTTGAATTTTGTTGTATTTATTTAGGAATCAACAATTGGTGCTGCCTTCTTTTCACAAACATTGGTTGTGAATGATGCTACTGTGAAGTTTGAGATATGGGACACAGCAGGTCAAGAGAGATACCACAGCCTTGCACCCATGTACTATCGGGGAGCTGCAGCAGCAATTATTGTGTATGACATTACGAATCCGGTGAGTAGCAGTCTATTGTTCCTGACGTTGTCAACTGGGATTGGATTGTTTTTAATTCGTTATGTTCATTGGATGTACTTTGTTATTAAAAAGTTGTTGGATGTTTGCTAAATAGTCATGGTAAGGTTTTGCTAGTGTGTGCATCTTTTCTTTTCCTCGGTTGCTCCAAGCTACAATTCATATTCGTTTATTTATGTTCCGAGTTTGCAATTGTGTGTGTCTATTTTTAGGCTGTTATCAAGGCTTCACCTCTGTTGTTTTTTGTAGGCCTCATTTGATCGGGCAAAGAAATGGGTGCTAGAACTTCAAGCACAAGGTAACTTTTGCTCGTTAAATCTATTAGGAATTGTTCTATACCCTTAACAGTATATATCTTTTTGTTGTTTTGTTTAATTCATTATGAACCCCCTTTTAGACTTATTGCTTGAATGTAAAACTCATTCGGATAGAGAGGAAGCTTTGTTTTTAAGCATTCCCTGACGGTCTACATTTGTTCTTGTACATTGTACTGATTTGCTGTGTGTTAATCCAGTTTCTTGTCCAACCTGTTCACATTATATATCTTATCATTGTCCTTAAGGTAATCCAAATATGGTTATGGCTCTGGCTGGGAACAAGGCTGATTTGCTTGATGATAGGAAGGTGGCAGCTGAGGCAAGTGTCTAGACCTGTTGAACTCCTGCACTATTTCTCTCTCTTTCTTACTTCGTCTGTATGTTTCTTGTCCCTGCCCTGATTTCCATGGCTTTTGGGAAGCAGCGGCAGTAGCTTAAATTTAATACTGGATGATCTTGTTATTAAAATGGTGCGGATTTTTCAGGAGGCACAAGTCTACGCTCAGGAGAACGGCCTTTTCTTTATGGAAACCTCAGCAAAAACTGCAACGAATGTCAACGACATTTTCCATGAAATAGGTACCTTGCTTCCGGGATCGAATTTGTTAACTAGAGTTAAAAAAATGACCGTGCACCTTGTTCCGGTGACTGCACATCTGTTTGTTGCCATGTCTTTCTACTGATTGTTTTGGCACTGTATCTTCTTGCTTGCAGCGAAAAGACTACCACGAGTTCAGCCTTCACAGAACCCCGCTGGGATGGTTCTCACGGATAGACCCGCTGAAAGGGCAGCTAGTGCGACCTGCTGTTCTTAAAATGCTGATGTTTCAGTTTCTCCAAAATATGTACCTTCTGAGTGGCTAATCTTCTGGTAGTGAATGCTGAATCGTAATGTAATCCCATTGATTGATCGGTTGGATGGTGTGTGCCAAGACGTGTACATGAATGCTTGATTTGGAAACTCAGTGAAAGAACAGAATCAGAGTGATTCTGGTGTTTGCTTTATCTGTGTAGTATCCGTTAAAGTACACATCGGTATCCCGGACAAAATGCGAAGACCATTGTAATTCCCCCTTTTTCTTTTTGTTATGTACTTCTCTTGCCTGGGTTGCTGATTGTGAGTCTCCGACGACGTCCGAGCTCATCCTGTTTACGCTGTTATATCATAAATAATAATGTGAGCCAGATGCAAATATTCAATAGCCCCGTTGTGGTCTCTTGTCATGAATGTACGTGGGCACCGGGCCGTGCTAGCCCGTGGGCACGAGCACGGGCACAAAATAAATGGGCCGGCACGATCACGAATAATTTGTGGGCCGTACCGGGTTTAAACTTTATGGGCACGGGCACGGCACGGTAGGGTTGGGAATCCAGACCAAACCGTATGGAAAACCGCGGTCTAGACCGTATCGTATGGTTTGGTCTGGACCGTGAGACAAGAACTATGGTCTCGTCTGGTTTGCGGTCTCCTCCTTTAGTTCGTGGTCTGAAGTGGTCTGGACCGCGGTCTACCGCAATAACCCGTAATAGACCGCGACACACTACCTATTACCTTGGACAAAAATAACATTAAATTGAACCTCCATATGTGTATTTGAAGAACAAAGTTAGTTTCTACAAAAAAAAAAAGAACAAAGTTAGTTGATTCTTCATCTAGTTGAGAGCTAACAAATTGCAAAATGATCGCTTATATGTTATCTCCTTATCAAAGTACCACAAAAAAATTAGAAAGACTCATAAATAATATTCACAGATAATGACTAGACTATGGAGTCGATAAACATTAAACACTACAAAAAAATTCGTTCACCTTGATGAGATAAGGAAAATTATTGAGAGATATGCGACCATCTTAGTGGTTCGAAATTACCTCGACGTCATCAAAAAGGTTATCAACTGGGAGAACCTTCGGATCACTCGACAGAGGAGAGAAGCGGTAGCACAAAGAGGAATAGGGAAATAAGGTTATTTGAAAATTGAAAAACCCACTTCTATCCTCATATTTCTTCTCATTTAATACGATCACAATTTTTTTGTTTCACTAGCATATTGGTCACTAGATTTTTTTAATAGATACTGGTGAAGGGGTGGAGGGCGAACAAGAGTTAATTTTTTTTGACATGGTCTGTCTGGTCCAGACCATACCGGACCGCACCGTACAGGTGTGGTCTGGTCTGGACCGTATAGTATATGATCTGGTCCATGGTCTGTGTTCGAACCTCTTGGTCTGGACCACAGACCGTATCTATGGTATGGTCTGAACAGGATCGCACCGTTTCCCACCCCTACGGCACGGTATATAAGTGGGCCGTGTCGGGCCTAATATTTTCGAGACTTTATTGAGTAAAAGAACGGACATGGTACCAAAATAATATTTATTTGATAGACAATAAATATGAAAAGAATTATAGGTTCAAATATTACAAAACACAAGTAGAAAAATAATTATTTGTTGTTGTTAGAAGTGTCATAAAGATATATACGTAATTACTAACATAAGTAAAAATGGACAAAGAATTAAACAAAGCCAAATCACACTCGCTATACTTCCAATTTTCTTTTCCTGCTTATTTGTTACTTTTCTCAAACATTATCGGTTAATACTCTTTTCCCCCGTCCAATTTTCACCTTCTTTTTCATTATCTCTTTTATTTTCGTCATTTTCATTAAACACGAATACGAGTATGGCACGACCACGAATAGGCACGACACGATTCGAACCATGCCCGAGTCTGGGTCGGGCCTAGTAAAATTAACAAATGGGCTTGCATGGCATGGCACGAAAACTGACGGGCCGTGCCAAGCACGACACGAAATAAATGGGCCCGAAGCGTGCCCGTGCCGTGCCGGCCCAAGCAAGGCCCAATACCCATGTACAGTCATGAACTTTCAAATAATGTAGGTGAGGCGTTACGTAGTCAAACTTCCCTTAGAGTTCCTTTGACTAGCAACCTTGATCCTCAACATATGAGCTACTTGAGCATTGCTAGGTTTATTCATACCATGTGTCTTGGCATTTATCAGGACTAATATGCAACAACATGAACCACACAAATATGTCATTTAAGTAAGTCGATGCAGATTGATTGATTGAGAATCAATCGTGAGGAACTGTCGTGTCCAGTCTCATCAACCCACGAAGTCAGATTTAAGGATATATCGTTTGAAGATATTCCTCATATTACGTATGCAATCACATCAACAACAAACCAAACAAAGAAATGAAAGAGAAAGGATAGATAAAATTGTACTCATATATATCAAAACCAAGAGTTACAAAATCAATGAACTTCTAGGGTTTGGAAACCTACACAACTAAGAAACTAGCCTCTCTTAGGCACGAGATTCTAGGATAACATTAGTCAAAACAAGACCCCAAATTGTCCTCTACATAGGCGGCCAGAACAATGAATCAGCGGCAAGACCACCTTTTGCCACTTATTCCACTTCTGAGTTCGACTTCACTAACGACCCTCTAATGCCTCCTACCAGTCACCCCTTAATTTCTACGCCTAGGGGTCTATCTATAGGCCTGTGCATCAATTTTTTTGGGAGGAAAGGTCAGCCTAGAACACGTTTTTCGAGCTTGTTTGGGTCTCTTCCATCTTGGCCACCACAATTGGCATATTTGTTGAGATTCTAGGCTCAATCTAGAGACCCCCCTAAAATGGCGAACAAGGCCCCATTTTGGGCTTTGGTCCACTGAATCCCATGCATGGTAAAGGAAACCGGATCGTACCGGCCGGTTGAACCGGTAAAACCGGGAACCGGAGCACGGGTGATACGATATCGCGTTTGGGTGCAGAATATCGCGACGGCCGGTGGAAACGGTTTAAACCGAAATACCGCCCGGTTTTGGTCTAACCGGGGACAGGGTAATGGAAAGAAAACGTCGTCGTTTAGCAAAAAAAAAAAAAAAAAAAAGAGGTCAAATTGTCAAAACCCTAATCAATCGAATGAAACACAGCCGCCTTCGTTTCTTCTTCGCAGTTCTCCTCTTCTTCTTCAGTTCGATCCGGCGCCCGGCGCTCCTCCTCTTCTCCATTTCTCCTCTGGCGATCGGCGACCAGGAACCGCCGAGCCCGTGACCAGCGACCGGCGGCAAGGATCCTCTCCGGCGCCAAGGCTCCTCTCCGTCCCTGCTTTCCTCCGCTCCACCGACCGACCTGATCTGCTCCGTTGCTCCTCTCCGCCGCTCCTCTCCGGCATCCGCTCCTCCACTGCTGACTGCTCAAGAACGCGCGACCCAAAACCCAAAACGGCACAACCCAAAACGGTAAGATTCTGGGATTCTTCACAACGGCACAACCCAAAATGCAATTAACAGAGAAGAACCCATATATTATATCAGAAGAAAATGAACTCTGTCCCAATTGAAGGATCGTGCGAATTTCTGGGTTAAACTGATTGTTAGGCCTTTGATTTAGCTGGTTTCGTGCGTTCTGTCATCTCTGATGGTTTGCTTGGCTGCTAAATGTATTTGTTTTTGATGATCGGATTTCCTTTTAGTTGTTCTTTGGTTAATGGGGGAAATCTGGATATGAACGTGGGTCTTCCTGTAATCGCTCTATTACAATTTAAGTATGAGTTGGATTGGAGATCAATTGAGTTGGGACTATGTGTTTCAGTTAGATGATTCTCATTCTCTGGTGTTTGGCATGAATGTGTAAATTGGGTGTCATTGTTTAGGAAGCTAGGCTACTCAAATGGTAGGATGCAACGAATTGATACTTATAGGGTTATAATCCTTAGGTTGATCATTCGATTGGCAGGTGATCGGTGTTATGCAACCCTGTGTTGATCAGTGTAGTGATTTCGATAGGAAGCGTTATGGAAGAGTGACTTCCAATGGAACTTCAATTGATGATGTGCTTCATGCGGTTGTTTTTCCATGATATATTATGGTTCTTTGTTATTTGTACACGTGTACGGAATTTCAGAAAATTGATAAGAAGAGAGATTGATTTTTATATTAAATGTGTTTATTTAGTTTATTCAGGTTTGTTATCCGGTATATTCCGGTTTTATTCCGGTATTATTCCGAAACGGTATCCCGAATCTGCCGGTACGGTTTTTTAACAAAAAAAATATTATTTAATTACAAAAATGGTATTTTGCCGGTACACAACGATTGAACCACGGTAGTACCACAAAATACCCTATCACTGACGGAGCCGGTATGACTTCCGGTACGGTTTCCTTTACCATGATCCCATGATGATTCTTGGGCTTGATCCATTCTTGCATTATGATTTCCAGTAGTTGGGTCTTGATGTTCCCTTACTCGTACAAGATGTTCCATTAGGATGCTTTGATCTAAAAGCACAAGAAACACTAGCAAAAGTGCATCACAATAGTAAAAACAATACTAGAGCTACTAAAGCGCACCTTAAGTGATTATTAAGCAAATGCAAGTGATTATGACACTTAAAATGTGAAACTTATTCAATTCTAGCCATAATAAAGGGTATAAATAGTCTTTCTATGTGTCATCAAGTAACCCTAGACTTGAACTTTGCTTGTCCCCAAGCAAACCACACTCATAATCGTACATCACCCTGTACCTCTAAGATGACACGTGATTTTCGATCATACATAGTGAATCATAAGCAGCTTACATGGTCAACCCTCCCACTTAAAAAATCAGACCAGATCAATGAGGTGCATATCTCATAAGGACAATCTGGCCAATCTCTATCAATCATAAGCTCTTAACTCAACTCGAAAGTCAAAAAACATTTGTGTGAAGCTTTTTGCAAGCTTTATTTGAAAGTTTAAGCACATTTTTTTCTTTATTTGACAATGAGATTTTTATGTCCTCTCTTTACGAGTAGCATGTCGATTTTTATGCTTTTTGTAGCAGAAGTGGGTTTACATGGGTACATCATAGGCTTGATCAAGTAAGATCAATTTCCGCACCTTAGCACTACATAAGGGCTTTGTTTAACTCTTTTTTCTCTATTGTGTGGAGAGGCAATGTTATAGATGGTTGTTGGAAGCTCTATCTGTGCCCTCTAAGCATATTTCTCAAACTACATTTTATTCGGCGAGAGATTGCACTAGATAAGCAACATCGTATGACTCCGAACCGATGCTCAATTGAATCGTTCCTATTCCCTCTTTGCAATGAGTGATTGCCTCACATGTGGTACACTTTACCCCAACCTTTATTTGTAAAGTTAGAATCTTTTATAGGACTTTGTGAGTAGAATTTTTGGATGTATATAAAGATACCGTTCGACCCCAATAAAAGTTTTAAAGCATGAGACCCGTTGGAAGAGTATAAGAACTCACAAAGGTTAGTGATAGTTATTGTATCCAAACATTTCGAATAGTCTTTAGTCTCATGATGAGGACAACTTTCATAGCCCCTATACTAGCCTCCCTAGATCACGTATTAATGTAGATACTAGCAATTCAAAGTAAGATAAGCTTTGGAATTGCTTTGGGGAGTGTGACATTATTTCGAACAATTTGAAATTCTTATGATGCGCAATAATGCACACACAATTGTAACCCATATGTCGAGGTGGATCCATGAAGTGCAATCTACTAAACTCACCCCACACTTTAAAGGGGCCAATTTTCCCATTGGCCTAATAAGGAAGAGTAGAACGAATACACCTCGATCGTTGGAATGATCCATGCACAGTTGGCTAGTTCCTCTTGGTTCATGGTACTTAACGGAAAAGAAAGGAGAAGGAAAACAGAGAGAGCAAGCGTGCCATCTCCTCAACCTAGGTAAGCACCTTCGAAAGGTATGCCTAACAGTTCTCTTGAATGCAAAACCGAGTCGTTTAAGCTGCAACAGAGGAGGTTGCAGCTCATAGCAAGGATTCTCCTAACTCAAACAACGGAGAGCAAAACAACTAATGGTAGGTGACTTGCACATTGCAAGACCATGTTTGCGTAGAATATGTGTGTTCTCATAAGCTATGAGCATTATCTTCGGCCAATCATTGGATTCCTTGTATTTTTGCTTATGAACGAGCCGTACACAACGATTGGAGGCCGATTGTCCAAAAGTAGGACGATTGGAAGTGGCAACACCCTCACTTCCCAACGGGAGAGTGTCACTCTTAAGGTGCGCCAAAATCATGTATTTTGTTTCATTGTTAAACATATTGTTGCTAAAAATGTAATTTAATCCTACATTGTAGTGCTTATAATTATCTTAAATAAAAATTTGTGTGGTGATATTTGTATTTTTTTTTACGATAATATGTAGTAAAAAATTTCAATCCTAGCCTGAACTTCAAATCCTGACTCCGTATCTAATCCCAATATGTGAATTTGCTTAACTTTTGTTATAAATTATGCTTCACACACATTGTGGATATTGCTTACACATGTTGTGATTTCTAAATATTCTCATAGAACACGTGGTGTGAACACTCTAATTGAACACATACCGTGAATAATTTTAGCGCATGTCGTGAATGCGATGCATGTAGTACCCCTTGAAAAGAACATCTCAAATTATATGGCAAAATATATGGATATTGGTCTTATTAGGGGGAAAACAGTTTCTTACTAAAATGATAATTTTTAACGAAAAATTAAAGAAAATAAAACCGTCAGAATGCGCTGACAGGGAATGAGTTCACAAGAGGACTGTCTTTTGTTCATGGTCACTGAAAATATTTAGTTTTATTCATGGTCACTAGATTTAGTTTAACCATCCAAGTTTGGTCACTCTCCGTTAGTCTCCGTCCACTTCTGTCAACGGCGTCAATGTTGTGCTGACGTGGCTAACAGACATGCAGAGTCATAATTTGATTCTTCGTCGTCGTAGTAAATAGGAGAGAAAATCGAATTTGTTTCTTCCTCTTTAAAAAAAAAGGAGAAATTCACTGTGACAAGTTCATTAGGAAAAAAATCCTTTTGTAGCAAATCATTTATTATTAAAAATAAATAAGCTTAACATGAAGGCAGAAAAAGAAATCATAGTGACGTGATCCCGGGCATCTACTATTATACCCACAATGATTGGTCATACTATTGCTATCCATAATGGAAAAAAAAGCATTTACCTATTTATATAACAGACCGTATGGTAGGCTATCACTTGGGAGAATTTTCACCGACTTGAAATTTTCGAGGAAACATCGTTAGCGTACTTGATTTTACACCAACATTCATCATCAGGAAAAACATTTTGTTTTGTGATGATACGTCACCTTAACGAACACGTCCAAAACTAACGCCGTCCTATGAACATTTGACAAACTCATGAGCTCGGATCATCAGAAAGGTTAGAAACCATGTAACAACGTTGCGGCAAACCCCAATAAATTTGCGCCATTTTCCCCCCCAACTCAAAACTCCAGAATACAGATTGGGGGAGAAGGAAACGTCGCGTGTGCAACTGTGTAAAGGGCGATTAGCCCAAGAATAGGTAGGAAGGAAGGAACAAAGGAAAAAAGACATTTGTTGAATCATACATCATATACAACCATGAACCACCCATTTCCAATCCCCACCCCTTCTCTAATTTGATGTAAACCTAATTACCGCCGATAACCATCATTTATACCCTCTGTAAAATACCTCTAGTCTGTGCCTGCACACAATACAAATGACTATGACCACAGCGATGATGATGATGGAACTATATACCGTCTCTGTCTCTGTGTATGTCTCACTGCCTCTTGGCTACAGTTTTCATCAAGCCCTTGATGATCTTGGAAAACCACATCAAGTTCATTATAAACAATGTTGATGGCACCATCACAACCACCAGGCATCCAAACCATCTCATCTGGAGAACCTGCCAATTCCCGGGAGAAAATGTCAAAATAAACAAATGAGAAGCAGCTTCAGGTATTAGAATCATGTCGTTCCCGCTTTAGCACCAACAACGTGGCAGAAAATAAGATAATGGATCCCCGCACCTGATCGAAGTGCATGTTGATGTGGTAGAAGATGTAAAAGAAGAGCAGCACTCTGGCAATCTGCAGGTGCCAGACAAAGTTCAGATAGAAACCCAAATCAACGCCTTCGATTCGTTCGAAAAACACATCCCTCTTGCACAGCAAACTTGAAAAAGGGTTTTTTACTCACCAACCAAAAGAGGAAGATCAGAACACCATTTACAAGATAAGCAGTTGACCGCTTCATACCTGATATGTCCAGATACCTATAAAAAGAGTTCACATGATTGAAGTCCTAAAATGTTCACTGCTTTTTGCCATATCGGAATTCTGGGAGTCAGAAAGGACTTATCAAAAGAGCTACTTACCATCTCATGTTTATTTCTGGTGTGGTCACTTCAGAGATGAGGCACATATATGTATACAGCTGCCCTTCTCCGGATAACATAGAATATGCAACCGCTATTGCAGAAAGACAGTGATGAACAACCTGAAACCAGATGCCATTATTCAAAGAGTTATAACTTCTATCGATCATCGTATTATCAGGAGCCATGCTTTTCATTTCAATAGATTTCTCTCTTACTGTTTTAGACTTACATAAACACCAACAATGTTCACAAGTTTAATGAGCGAGCTAGCTCTCCCTCAACAATAGATTTATGAACCAGAACGTTAAAAGTTCATTTGCAGAGTTGTAGAGTCTTGTCTTGGACTTTATTATTTAGCAGTGATGAGAAATTGTACAGAAAACACAGCGATCAATATAATTAGTACATCATATTGCACAACGCAACCTCGTTCTGATGGGAAACCATTGAAACCAGTCTTGGACAAAACATGAATACGTGATGCATATATACTTCTAAATGGAAGGAAAACGTTCATTAATATTTCAGAGAACTGCAGGAGCAGGGAGCAATGGGACATTACGACCAAGCAAAAACTTTGACTTTAGTGCATTGAATTGGTCAAATTCAAACAAATTCAGTGGAAGAAGAGACAGAAAGAATTGCCTTACATATTCCATTCCACCTAAAGAAGGATAAAGCCAAATAATCATCCCCAGATCTGCAAGGAAGTATCCAACAGAAACCTGTCAAATGAAGAGAAAGTTAATAACATGCCAGAGTTAGTTTTTCTACAGAATACATGACACCAGTGACAAGAAACTAGCTAAACAGGTACATCAGTCACTCTTTCTGTCCTAACTTTTTATTTATTTATCAAAGAAGGAAAGGAAATGCTCTAACAGGTAAGCAAAAAAGGTTCAACCCAGAGCAGATATGACATGAGAAACATTGACTAAACCCGAAATCTAGAAGTTATAGCAGAGATCAGCCTTACATACAAATACCATTATCGAAGAGCATTTCCAGAAAACATTTTGACCCGCATATTAGAAAAACTAAGCTACGTGATAATAAATTGTCAATGCATAAGAACTTTGAATCAAATGCTTCATTATACTTCCAAACAGGATAGACAACAATATCATTCGGTGCAGAAAATAAAGATAACAGATGACAGAAGACCAACCATATGTGAAGCCACTGACAAACTATTACCAAAAAGGTACAAACTAACAGTAAAAAGTCCTTTCCAGAAAGATCAGCACTGTGATGCCCAAGCACAAACAACTGATAGATGTCAAAGATCAATGTCAGGGTTAAAAAGAGGAGAAAGGCCACTTACTGCCAGTCCAAATATGGATAAAGGTGAGCTTCGTAGAGTGACATAACCAGTATGCACTTTGTCTGAAAAAAGATCAGACCAGAATACAAAGTATAACGACAAAGCTGTTATAAAGATTGCGTGCAATGAAGACATCCCCCTGCAAAAATTAGGTCACTGCTAGGTAAGGACTAACCAACGATATTGACAGGATAATGAAAAGCCAGAATTAGATATGCCCTGACCGATTGTTCCATTCAATTCTTTGTATTTTCGTAAGCCCAGTGTACGCCTTGATGTAAAACGTGCTAATCAACTGAGTTAGATCATAGACCTGTTAGGAGGTAAGGCATCAAATTCAACATCCAAATCGAATCCCAGCATAAGCACAGGCCACATCATCAATTAACAATAACATTCAAAGATTAAAACAGGACTGGGGCATCTATTAGGAAATAAGGATGACATACCACTTTGCAAGCAATTACTCCCCCAAGGACAGAGGTGTATGGAACAAAAGGATCTGCAAATAAGTAACTCTTAACCAGCACCTTAGCCTGACTACGGTAGGCCTCAATCGCCATAACAGTCTCCTTTGGAACGGTCACCATTGCCAGTTAAATCATATACGTTGTTGTATCTCAATTGATATTACTTGTTGTAACTGTATCCTAACTTATCACTGTTATCCTTCAGATGCTTTCCTGACAGACATGAAATCAATGGCCAAGTCAAATTGAATGGAATGCCATAGTCTAAACCAGCAGTACAATGTAACACAAGATGAATGTTAAGAGCATTGGGAAGGTGCATCTGTAACAGTTTGAGCAGCCTGAAAGCAACAGATGTCGATTGCAATGAAACAGAAACTGGAGAAAATTACAGCAGACAGGAAAACCACCTATTGCTATGGGCACCAAGACGATAGTAATGAAACTGAACAAACCTTGCAACAATTTTGATTTTTTTCTATTCAATTGAGAACTTTGGAACAATTGCAATAAATAAACAAAGCTCAAGATACAGATGAACAAGAAGTCCACAGAGATTTCTCTTGGAAAAGCTGAAAACAAATAAACAAAAACAAAGGAAAAAGACGAGACAGCAATCAATGAAATTCATCAACGTGGTCCACCCTCCGCAGAGATTGCAAGTCTCCATCAAAATAAAAGAACCCAGAAAGCTCTTCAAAGGCTTAGAGCCAAATCAATTAGATTCATCCCGAACTCAATCTATACACATGCCATATAATCAAATTGTAACCACATTCCGCATCCAATCCCCAAATGAAATCACGAAAGCGATCAACCCTTCCCACACATCCCACAAGCAATTAGATTCATCCCAACTGCGATTTGCAACTAGAAGGCGACGTTGCATTACAGAGAGGGGAACATTCACAGGTTATTACCCACGACAAAATACAGACTTTCTCAACGCCATCAAAGATGAAAGGAAGAAGCTCCTATAGAAGGAGATTGTGGGGAGGAAGGGAACTCACAAATAAGCATCAGCTTTCGCGTATCGCCCAAGAAAACTTGCGGCCCGCCCGATAGATCCGAGGGAGTATTAAAGACACAAAACGGAAAGCCCTCTCCCAGAATCGGGATAAAAGGCAATCAATAGGGGCGAAAAGCTTGAGATGAAAGAAATAGAGTGCTAAACCCAGAAAAAGAGAGAACAGAACGCAAACGCAGGACACCGCCGAGTAAAATGCCAGGTGAAGGGAAGGTTGGGGGACTAGAGACTTCTGATTTCTGATGGGCGAAGAGAGAGAGAGAGAGAGCGAAGGCGATGGAATAAGGAAGGAATCGCCAACGCTGGACACAGAATTAGTAAAATATGGTACGGGTAAGATATCTTATATCTATAAAATATATAGATTAGTTAAAATCTCAATTTTATTTATCTATTTCTATTTTGATTTCATTATAAAATTAATAGATCTTAAAATCTTGTACTATTCATAATATAAATTATAAAAATCGTAATCTTAAAATTTTGTACTATTCATAATATAAATTTTTAAAATCTTATGATTCTACGATTCAAATCTTTGGAGCAATTTTATTTATTTTTCCCACAATTTGCAAAATTATGGCCCTTTTACTTCTCCTCCACCAAAATCATCTAGTTTTCTCACACTAACCATTATCAACCATTATCATTCCCATCAACGTATTAATCATCATAGATTCACCACTTTCCAACATTAACCTTGATAAATTGGAACATTTACTTTGAGAAATTATCATTGTAAGAAGTGGTGGAGCCACTTGAGGCCAAAGTGGGTCATTTGCACCACCTTGGCCCAAAAAATATAGGAAGAATTTGTTTATATGATTGTGGATTGCGTTTAAGATCTTCGCAGATAATTTACAAAAAGTGATGCTTAGTGATCTCTATTTAACTTTTAATTGATATATTATGTAAGTGAGTTTAATATAAATAAAAACTCGAAATTTAGGGGTGTTTGTTGCTATCGGAAGTGTTGAAAAAGCATTTACTGCAACAAACAAAGTAAAAAAAACACTTCAGAATAAGGAGTTGTGGAATCATGAATGATTTAGTTTTGTTGTATCTTATCAATATCCCTAACAATTTGCATAATGAATGTATTTTAGAAAACAAATTCAAAACATGAACACATGCTAAAACTTACATTTTCCCCATGTTTGACCTACCTTTGATTATATTCTTGCTACGCCACTGATTGTAAGTGTTATGTGTTATTGTGTTATTTATGATTTTTCTTATTAATATTATTCCATCTTCGTTCTTATATGAACCTTAAAATCCCGATTTTTTATTTTACGTAAAATCTCGATTTTGACTGCTATGAAAATACGTACGGGTATTTTACTTCGTCTCTAAGCGATTCTATGTTTAATAGTACGTTAATATTCATAAATATATAAAATTAATTATTTTAAAGATAAATATATAAATAATAGTAAAGTTAATAATTTACTTAATTAAATATGGATATAAACGTGTTATATGGATTTTATAAGTGTTTAATACGGGAGCCATCAAATGAACGAAAAAATATGAAACGGTTTGAAAATAATACAACAGATAAAATACGTACGGATATATATACGTGTATTAAGCAAAGTGTTACTATTCGATTGATAAGAGATTGGGTCAGGAATTGGTTCCAACTTCCAACAAAATGTGCCTAATGAATAACTAGATATGAGCTTTGGTCTTAATTGTTGTCAGATGTAAAAGATGATAACTAAGTGTTTTAATTTTCGTAAGATATTATCCTCTTTATTTTAATTTGGCTTTCAAAAAAAAGTTCACAGATGGAACATCTTAGTTATGGTATACAAAATTATATCTGTTTTTGAAATATTTTGAGTAAAAAAATTTCATATCATCCATATCACAAGTTACCACCCTTATATCACTTGATACCACATTCGTTTTTATTTTGAATTTTGAAAAAATTTGCGGAGAAAGAATGGATTCATCGTTTCTATTATATTTATAAATTTCTAGAAAAAAATTAAGAACCAAATATATCATCCTATACCAAGATGATAACTGGCAGTATAGGATAATGAAAAATAGTAAATAACGGTTAATATATTCATACTATCGCGTATGCAACTATTCTATACTCTTATAATGAAGGGTAAATACAATTTAATATCCAAACCTTTCATTTTAAACAATATAATAGCCAAACTTTTTCGAAAACAATCTAATATCCAAATCGTCAACTTTCTGTCTGTTTGACCGTTAGTTGACACTTCAAAAAAGTTCGAAGTACGACACTTCATCAATATCCATCGATATCTTCTCTGAAAAACCACCAACATATAGTAGTTCTAAACCCGAGAAGTCCATGACTCCACCATGATAGTATAGAATATCTAAATATTCAGTCATCTGCAATGCCAAAACAAGAAAATAAAGTTGTGTTGTGACAATTTCACATAAACAAAGCTTTTTTGAAGTGTCAATTAACAGTCAAACGAACAGAAAGTTGACGATTTGGATATTAGATTGTTTTCGAAAAAGTTTGGCTATTACATTGTTTAAAATGAAAGGTTTGGAATTATTATATCTCATCATCATTATCATATCTGGCTGTTTCCGATTTTGAGTTTTTTTTTATCCTTTCCAGCTCCTGCAATCCTATTCTTTTAAGTTTTTTGGCAATCGGCACGACAGCTGGTCTCCTGCCCGCTGACATAACCGGTCGGTTACTGGGTGCCACGGCGGGAAAAACCGCAGAATTATGTTTTTTTTCTTTCCTTTCACATTTTAATCAAATTATTATGACGATGATGATGATAAAAATACTAATGATTAAACCATGGAAAGAGATCAGATGCATAATTTGATTCTACATAAAAGGTGAGTTGAATTGTTTAAATCTAGGATACTACTTTACTAGTCTTATCTTTGCACATTTGGTGGTTGATAATTTTTAATGATGTACAATATAAGAGGTGGTTTGGAAGTTGCGAATGTTACATCGTTGCATTGTAATGAATCACCATAATATAAATGTATGTATTGATACAATGGATGCATTTTAACAATACATTGTTTGGTTGTTGAGTTACTATTCAAAGAGTATTTATATAAAAAATTAGTTGTGTGAATCTATAATCAATCGATATTGTTGTCAAAAATTACATTAACAAGAGCAGAGTGATCATAATGATTTTAGATCTACAACATCAGACAATCCATGGGCCATTCATAATCAAAATTTCTTAACCTTATTCATTATTGATTTGATTTGTTACTTTTGCTTCAGTTTTTTTCTGTCATTTGGCTATGGGTAACAAAATTGGTTAATGAATGAATCTTAAGTTGTCTACCTGTGTTTAATGTGACATGTCGAGTGATTCATTCCAAAAAAAAGTTGTGGGATAGAAGAGCGGGTGGAGATTATAATGGGGTTTAAAGAATCCGCAAATATGGCTAATGCTTGCAATAGTCCAATCATAATTTTCGGGCTCTTTAGGAAGAACACACTAGCTAGGAATGGCAATGGGTCAGGTTCGGTCGGGTTTTGCCAAACTCAAATTTATGGGTTTATCCGTGAAAAAAAACCCAGGTAAAACTCACTGGGTTTGAAAAACTCAAACCCAACCCAACCCGTTGGGTATCCGCGGGTTCATGGGTACCCACGGGTTTTGTCGTAAAAAATTTACAATAACAAGTTCCTATCAAAATTAAAGTCAAATATCAATCTCTCAATACAAAATATCCATATATAAAACACCATTCTAGAAAATTCAAGCAAATCACAAATTAACTAAACAAATTGTTCAACACCAATCTAGAAAACTCAAGAAAATTGAAGCAAATCACAAATTATCCATAAATAATATGATTAATTGAAAGCTTCTTCCTTTCAATTAAGTTTCATCACTCTCCACTCGATAACATCAACTTCATTCTACACAATTAGAAAGAAAAAATTAGACATGTCTCCAAAAATATAAATAAGATTAGTTGTTTAGAATATTAAATATATCGAGAAAATTAATTATATAGGTGTGGGCGGGTACCCATGGGTCGGGTTTACCTAAACCCAAACCCAACCCAACCTAGTGAACAGTGAATGGGTTTAAATCCAAACCCGGCCCAAAACCCGTCAACACGGATTTTACCCACGTTGACCGGGTTGGATCGGGTGGGTACCCGTGGGTTCGGGTTTTGTTGCCATCCCTAACACTAGCTAGGACTCACATCGCTTAGTGCAATAGCTTAGTTTGGCCGTGCGGTAGCTTTTGCAGAAGCAGTTTTTGGCTGGAGATTTTAGATAAGTACTTAAAAAAAAACAGTTGAGTGTTTGGATGTAAAACTATTAGAAGTGCTTTTTAATATAAGAGGTTGTGTAAAATGATTATAAAAGACATATAATATAAAATATGAATAAAAATTCTAAACAATAAAAAGTAGTCAAAATGGATCTTGTTAGATTTCTTTTATATTAAATAATATGATTTTATAATTTATTTTATTTTTAAAATGATATAAATGAAGGAAAATTATTTATTCTGAAATAAAATTAAAATATGGTAAGGATAATCTTGTATTTTCAAAACAGTTTTTCGCAGAAGCTCCAAATCGGAGCTTCTGCTTTTATGTTATACAAAAGCGCTTTTCGGTTTTTCAAAAGCCGAGCTTTTACAGGTGTTTGGCCCTGAAAAATAGTACGAGAATGTAAACGAGACTTTGTTTAATGTGGTTCTTCCTCACAGTGGGTGAGGCTTACGTCCACGAGAAAAAGGTTGTGATCTTATTGATGGTTGTGGCATAATGCCTTACAAGTGCTTTTATACCCTACTCCATATTCATCTAGGGTTACATTATTAATGGTCGAGTTGCTACACGTCTCCTTGTGGATCATGGACGACGTATAGACTGCATGAGAGTTAGGCTGATGGTGGGCTGAATCCTTCCGGCCCAATACTCCCCCGCAAGCTGGCGCTTGGAGGTCACGAACGTACAGCTTGGAGAGAAGGAAATGAAAGCGAGCAGCGCCAAGTCCTTTAGTGAGGAGGTCTACAAGCTGGAGATCAGTATGTACCTTCACTGGAAAAATCTGTCCGGACTGAACACGCTCTCGGACGAAATGGTAGTCCATCTCCACATGTTTAGTGCGTTCATGGAAGATGGGATTATTGGCAATGTGTAGTGCCGCTTGGTTGTCGCAGTGAAGAGGAGTAGCGCCATCCTGGGGTACCCCGAGCTCCTCCAACAACCAACGTAGCCAGAGAATTTCACTTACTGTGCTAGCCATGGCACGATATTCAGCCTCTGCTGATGACCGTGCAACAACACGCTGTTTCTTGGTGCGCCAGGAAACAGGAGCTCCTCCAAGAGTGATGTAGTATCCCGTCGTGGAGCGTTTGGTACTCTGACAACCTCCCCAATCTGCATCACAGTAGGCAGTGAGACACAGAGGGTTATCCTTCGGAAAAAACAGGCCTTAGCCAGGGGAGGACTTCAGATACCGAAGAACACGATAGGCTGCGTTGAGATGCAGTTGGCTGGGCGAATGAACATGTTGACTGAGTATGTTCACCGCGTAAGTAATGTCGGGTCTGGTAATGGTTAGGTAGAGTAGTCGCCCCACCAGACGAAGATAGAGAGACGGATCAGCGAGCGCATCCTCCACTGGGCGAGTCAGTTGATGATTTTGCTCAATGGGAAAAGCACTGAGTCGTGATCCCTGGACCCCGGCATCCTCCAGTATGTCAAGAACATACTTTCTCTGACTAATAACAACTCCGCTAGTGGTTCTAGCCAATTCGATGCCCAAAAAATACCGGAGTGGGCCAAGATCCTTGATACTGAAACGGTCATCGAGGATTTTCTTGACACGGCTTATGAACTGTAAGTCATTTCTTGTCAATAACACATCATCGACATAAATGAGTGCAGCAACGTGAGTGCGTCCCTTCCGGTAGATAAACAGGGAAGCATCAGCTGGCGAAGCGCGAAAGCCAAACTCCACCAGCGCGGCAGTGAATTTATGGTACCTGTTGTGCGAAGCCTGGCGCAACCCATAAAGTGATTTATGTAACCGGCAAACTCTGGTGTCTCCTGGTGTACGAAAACCCTTCGGAATTTCCATGTATACTTCTTCATCGAGATCTCCATGAAGAAATGCGTTATTTACGTCGAGTTGATGGAGATGCCAATCCCGGCTAACCGCAACAGCAATGAGGCATCTGACTGTGACAAGCTTTGCTACAGGGGCAAACATATCATGAAAATCTTTTCCTTCGATCTGGGTATATCCTTTCGCCACTAACCTTGCTTTAAAGCGCTCAATGCTCCCATCCGGAAAGTATTTTATCCGGTACACCCATTTGGCCGCTATGGCACGCTTTCCTGGCGGGAGATCCACCAAACTCCACGTCCCATTCTGCTCTAGAGTTGTGATCTCCTTGCGCATTGCTTCTCTCCAACGAGCCTTCCTCCCAAAATGAACGCAGTTTGGTATAAAACGAAGAAACGGAGCGTTTCTCTTGTTGAAGGAGGCTTATCAGCATGCGCAGTTCATAGGCTCGGGAAGAGCTTCCCTGGCCGAACCGCTCTCTGAGATCAGACCAAATATCTCTTGCACTTTCTGCAAATCGGATGCTGCTTCGAATCTCTTTGTCCATTGAAGTTTTCAGCCATCCCTTTACCATCGCGTCACAGCGAATCCAAGCATCCTTTTCAAGAGGATTGCTAGGTTTGGAGAGGGAACCATCCACGAATCCAAACTTATTGCGTCCTTCATATCCAGAACCCATTCCCCGTAGTTTGACGATGTCAGGACATCACCTACCAACATATTGCCTGGTCCATCCGCGTTGCTCAGCTGATACACGGAGGAGAGCTCAGGTTTAGCCCCGGAACTGCCGACAGGCGATTTGTTTTTGGAATCAGAATCATCATCGGATCCCATGATTGAAGAGATTGATTGTCAAACTAGAGCGATTGCTCTGATACCACGAAAAATAGTACGAGAATGTAAACGAGACTTTGTTTAACGTGGTTCTTCCTCACAGTGGGTGAGGCTTACGTCCACGAGAAAAAGGCTGTGATCTTATTGATGGTTGTGGCGCAATGCCTTACAAGTGCTTTTATACCCTACTCCATATTCATGTAGGGTTACATTATTAATGGCCGAGTTGCTACACGTCTCCTTGTGGATCATGGAAGACGTATAGACTGCATGAGAGTTAGGCTGATGGTGGGCTGAATCCTTCCGACCCGATAGACCCTGCTTCAGCTTTTGAACCCGAAAAGCACTTCTAAAAGCCGGGCCAAACATAGGGAAGAACTGCTAACCTTAGACTTGTTTAGTACGGTTTGTTGTAGTAGATGCAATATCATTGTGACAATAGAGGTGCAACCACAACACCATAAAACTGAAAAACACAAACTCGTTTGGTTGCGAATTCTGAGAAATTATGGAAGTTGACAATTTTTTGTGTAGTTACTTCGTTAGACCTTGTTTAGTATTAATGTTGAAACTAAGATGAAAGTAGAAAAATAATTAGAGGGATAATGTGGTATAACGAGTTATGAGAAATTAAGAGAAAAAACATATGAAAATAATATTGGCATTAAGATTTCAAGATGAGTTATGAAAAAATAAAGCGGGAAAATATGTAAAAAAGTGAGTTTAGTGAGATTTGGTCATAGACTATTTTGAATGAAATTATTACAACAATTGATATGATTCAATGTGAAGCATTTTTTGAAAACAAAGAAAGCTATCCAATCTTGTTTCACTATTTTTAACAATAATTTTTGTTGTAGTTCCAACTTCTGTTGCCACAACTCCATTAAACATAGAGCTGGCTATTTGGTCCGGACTTTTTAGTTTTACCCGAAACCGGACCGTATAATCCGAACCGAGACCGGATAGCAAACAATCCAATTCAATCTTCGAGCCTAGATTTGAAGTTAAAAACCGTTTGGGACCGGTCCGAAAACCGGATAAGAGAGCCCATTGCCCAACACCCAAAATTTTACCTCCTCACCCTTTCAGGCCTTAGGCCACTCAAATCTCCCCTCAGGTCACTCAAATCCCCACAAGTTCAATCTAAAATCAGACTGAATTGGGACCGGGCTGTATCCAATCTTTGATACTTATATTATCGAAAGACCGGACCGTAACCGAATCAATTTGGACCAATTTAACCGGACCGGACCGTATAATCACCCCATAAACGTGCTTTCAATTTATGTGTCGACAATACATATATGAAAACAGAAGAAAAAAGGATATATTAAAAAGTGACATAGCTAGAGTTCTCATTATTGGAAACCACGAAAGTTACAGGGGATATAGCCAAGACGAAGTTTGAGTTTATGTCCATTGAAAAACAAAATGGTTTATCCTTTGAGTTCAAGAGCTATATCAAGAGCCTGGAACACTCGATAAATAGACATCTAAGATCAATGTCAAGGATGATTAATTAATGAATTAAAGGTTTTGAGCCATACCTGGGACGGGATACGGTGACAACCTCTAAGGGGTTGTCAGATTCACAATTAGGGTATTTTGGGTATGAAAAAAAGGAATATATTAATTACCTCTTTTGTATTAATTATATTGGGAATTAAAAACCCATATTAAATACAATTTTTTTTGAAATTTAAATCCTATACATTAATATCTCTATCTATCTATCTCCCTCTCTCTCTCTTCCTTTCTCCAGCGGCCACTCCGCATCGACCGACAAACTTTTCTCCGGCGAATTCTCTCCGGCAGACTCCATCCGGCAACCTGAAAAAATGTACCAATGCGTTAAAAAGTGTACCAATCTATTAGCCTACTGGTCATTAATATACCAGTACTAGTGGTACGCTACCAGTACATTAAAAAATGTACCAGTACAACGCTACCAGTAGAGAATAACACAACGCTACTAGCACTTGTAGCGCTACCACTAGCACTGGTAGCGCTACCACTAGCATTGGTAGCGCTACCAGTAGAGAATAACACAAAAAAAGAGATGATAGTGGTACCAGATGATAGGAGAGCCACTGGTATTGGTACCAGTGAGTAGTGGTAGCGTACCAATAGCGCTACCAGTGGTATTGGTACCAGTAGAGACTATCAGATCTGGAAAAAAATAGGGATGAGGAAAGAGGGAGGCAGGGAAGAGTCTTGACCTCGGGCGGCGGCGACATAAAAATGGTGGCGGGGTCAGCGTGGCACGACGGTAGGCGCGGCAGGGCGGAGAGAGGGAGAGGACAGCGGCGCGGCAGGAGCGGCGGGGACAGCGGAGCGGCAGGGCGGCGGGGACAGCTGGCGCGACAGGGCGGTGAGGACAGCCGGCGCTGCGGAGGTCAGGGGTGGCGGTGGGCATGGGAGAGGAAGAGGGAGCTGCGGTGGTGGGAGGGCTGTGGCGGCGGAAAGAGAGGGAGGAGAGACGGTGATGTCTACGGGAGAGAGGGAGGAGAGAGAGAGGGAGGATGGAGGAGTTAGGATTTTTGTTCTTCTTATATGGTATGGTGAATGATTGGGTGTGGTAAATTTTTACCCTTCCAAAAATATCATTCCTTTAATCTTAAACGTTAATTAAAAAAAAAAAAAGAGACAGGAGAGAGAGCGTATCCAAGGGCTATGAAATGGGATGTAAATCTGACAACCCCTTAGGAGTTGTCACCGTATCTCGTCCCTCCATACCTTGACTAATGTGAAGCAACTGCCTCATATTAAAGTCTCTTTTCCCACTAACGAGTGTAAACATCAACTTTTTCAATCATAGAAATGTAATTTGACATTTTGTGGGTGTGTGATCAATATGGCAACATTTTTGATCTAATTGAGCCAAATTTAACTCATTCCATTCTTAAACTTATCTGTGGATATCAAATTAAAGTTTTCCATCTTAATTTACACCATACAATTTTTCTTTCCCTTTTTTCCTCCCCACAAACAAATATTTGTTTTATAAAATTGGATGATTAAATAAAACAAGGCAAAATACACTTGTATAGTCATAACTTTCACGTTTTTGACAAATATAGCCATTTCTATTAGAAAACCACAAATAACCATTTCCGTCCATCCTTTTAACGGTGTCATCTAACATGCTGACTAGACTAACAGAAAAGCTGACGTGGAGACATTTAATCAATAACCGTTCCACGTGAATATATGAATGGAAAAAAAATAAAAAATAAAAAATTAATGAAACCATTCTCAATTTCTTCTAATCTTCGTGCACTGCTCACTCTGCCCATCTTCGTCTTCTTCCTTCCTCCACTTTGCCATTTTTTGAAACCAAATTTCAATCAAACACCCTAATCAACTCCAAACCCATCTCAGCCACCGTAAATCCGCCACCCTCTAAACCCCTAACTCCTCACACCGCAGAGAAGAAGTAGGTCCCTCGCGGCGGAGCTTCTCCTTTCACGCCCGAGACAGAGTCTCGCCACCGCGGGCCGAGCCAAGATGAGCCTAGGTTGGGTGAAGACAATTGATGATTACCCAACTCCTCTTCCGATGGCGTCAGCCCCATTCCAAAATCCCCATTTTTCGCCAGATCTGGAATCTCGATTTCCTCTGTCCTTGAATTACAATTTTCTTCGTTCTTGAATCTGCTTAGAGGAAGAAGCGGACTCGCAAAAGCAATGACAGCGGCGGAGGCGGCGAAAATGGGTGATCATTGAGGAGCGTGAAAATCGGCACCGGTGATGAAATTATCCCGGTGGGGGTGTGCGGCGGCGAAGCAGAGGTGGGAGGAAGGGGAAGGTCGCAGGTGTGGTTTTGAGTCGTCTCCTCGCCGCTACTCCAAGAAGCCCCCTGAACGCGAGCTTCCAGTTCATCAATGGTGCTTGCGGGAAGAAGAAGCAGAGGAAACGAAAATCTAATAGATCTCTCAAACCACCACCGCCGCCAACGAAAAGAATCCCCTGAGCACAACATCGTTGAGCTCCACGAACTGGGGATGAACGTCAGCTTCATGCTCGTTCGATTGGGGGAAATGGTGAAGGCGAGCCGGTACGAGGAGCTGAAGGCGGAGAGGGCTGCGACGAAGGAGTTGAAGGGCCTGGCTGTGAGGTAGGATCAGTGAGGCAGATCTGAATCGGAGATGGAGGGGGTTAGGTATATTCTCTGGAGATTTTGGGTATTTTTGAGTTTGAGATTTTTGTTGCAGGGAAGGGGATTTGTTCGGAGACGGAGGGGGTCGGGTCGTTGGTTGGGAGCAATGGTCGCTGGTTGGGAATGACGATTGATGCGGCGGTGGTGGGAAAGTCGATTGATGCGGCAGCGGCTTCGATTGAAGTTGTGCCTCTCCTGGGAACGACGACATCGTTGGCGATTTGGGAGGATGAAATGGTTACAACAAGAAGAACGAAAGGTAGAAGGGATTTTGATAGAGAAGAAGTGAAGAAATTGACCTTTTTGGTGATGATTCAGCCTCTCAGCCTCTATTTATCTCCGTCATTGAGATTGTGGGGGAGTCCATTAGAGAACAGATGGGGAAGACGAAGGAGAGGAGAGAGGGAGAGGAGACTGGATATTGAAAAGGAAAAAAATAATAAATTTTTTATGTTTTTAAATTAGTTATTAATTGATTAACTAATTTTTTTTTGAATTAAAATATGACATGGCACTTATGTGGCAAGTGTGGTTGAGTTGTCGCTGACGTGTGCGATGATTTGGCATCCTAGTCAGCCTAACGTTATTTTAACTAATAGAGTTTCTAACACCGTTAAAGTTTCAAACGAAAATGGCTAGATTTGTCACACAACCATCCAATTTCTTGGCTATTTGTGGTTTTCGAATATAAATGGCTATATTTGTCAAAAACGTGAAAGTTATGGCTATACAAGTGTATTTTGCCATAAAACAATCACAATAGTCATTTGAAATTCTTCTCTTGCTCTGTGGTTGCTGATCCTCTTGTAAAATTATTTATAGAGTTAGAGATGGGGGCTTCGGTTGCGAATTTCGGTAGAAAAATTGAGTTTCGCTCTGGAAGTCTTTCTTTAGTGTAACACCAATAACAAAGCTATGATAAAACTTCAACTGGAATTCCCTCATTACTCTACTCTCTTTATTTTTTCGATTTAACTGCTTAAGACTCGTTTCTTAATTCTTATCTACTCATCCAGTTTAAAGCATCCCTTTATATTTAATCTCAATATGTTTCTTTATTTTTTATCTAATTGTCGCCTAAAGTTCAAGTGTGCAGAACTCAGCTAAAGAAAGACTCTTTACGCCGGAGCTTCTTTCAGCTCAAATATCCATGACAACAATTATATGTACAAATTCATTTATAAAAGATGAATTTAAACAATCTACAAGAGGGGCACCGAAAAAACTTTCCTCCGAAAGAATAGCCTATACTGAAGTGCCAATTATGCAAAACATTTTATCAACGAAAAAAATAGAATAAGAATTGCATTTCACATTCCACATAAGTTTAAAAAGTGTACTTTATTTGGAAAGAAGCCAAAGTTTAATTCAATTAGACCCAAAAAAAATTTAAAAACAAGAAACAATTGAAAATTTTGAAGAAAACAATAAAGTATAAGATAATTAAAGAGACCGCTAGTAATATTGAAATGAAGATGGAAAATGTGAGGGAAAATGGAACTATGTAAATTGATGCAAAAAATTTTAATTCGATACCTGCCAATAAATTTAAGGATGGAAAAAATAAGGGTGCAATCAGAAGTTGACTTATATGATTTAGTTGCAACTAAAAAAATTTAAATTATTAATATACAACGAAATCATTACTTACATGGTATCCGGTGCAATTTACCCGGTTCTTTAACAAAGAAAATAGTGGATCATATTGAGATTAGACCAGCCCATATCCATTATGACCAAGTCTAACTCGCTAGTAATCGGTCCCTTGTTATTTTTTTGTCCACACAATCGAACTAGAAACTCTACGATCAACCAATTCCATCGTATGCACCCAATCTTAAAAGTCCTAAATACTTAGGGGTCGTTTGGATGTGGAAATTTGAAAACGTTGGAATTTGTCTGAATTTCCATGTTTTACAAAACCAAGGAATTGACTTGTGGAAATTGAAAAAAATTTCACGTTTGGATAGGGTTTAGTTTTGTGGGAATTGATGGTGTGGAATTTGGAAAAAGAAGTAAGAAAACGTGGTAATGTCAAATTACTAGGGGGAGGTGTAGTATTCTCAATTACCATGAATGTGGTAATTGAAGCCAATTTCCATGGTCCAATTCCCATACCTTTTTGCTCTCCCAAACGTGGGTTTTAAACCCAATTACTGCGTTATGTGGTATTTGGGTCCAATTACTGCATTGCATTTCCACGTCCAAACGACCCCTTAATCTTATTATAAAACTAATATGGTGTCCAACACGTTGGGTCAAATGTTATTTGAACACAACTTATTTATATTATATATTCTAATATTTTTCAAATAATTTGAAATGGTTATTTTTGTAGGAAATTAATGGGGTTCATTAATAAACCTTATTTTTATGACATTAATGTGATTTCAATTTTTTATTTTTATTTTTTGAAATCATAATAACCTTAACATTATATACTTAATAATAATAACACTCATGAATAATCATTCGTGATCTATACTTTTAACGATGCAATCACTTAGTTCTCTATGATTGAAAAGAATGACATAAAAAAGTTTGAATAACAAAACGTAGCATAAATAAATAAATAAACATAACCATGAGCATTAGCAAAAAAAATTCCTCTTGACTTGAGATACAATGTGTATATGTATATCAAATTCTAAAATTTAAAGTATTATAAATAATGCAATAACAAAATCAATAGGAAAATACCATTCTCCGTCCTTACACTTAAGGTCCCTTAGACTTGCGTCGGCCCAACGACGGTCTAACCACCGTGGGTTTTCCTTCTTCCTTGGGTTGCTTGGTCCACAAGTAACTCCTCCTGTGAAATTCAGCACGACTTGATGAGTATAGCCCAGGGACGGCTACCATCATCACAAGGCCATTGTGGGTGTTCCGGTGTGTCTGCTTGAAATTTCTCCGGTGGACTTCTCATGAGATTTAATGACGACTTTATGATGCCTTCCCCTTAATTAGTCATTGTTTAATGGACCAATATTCCCCTTCATTCTTAATAATTAATTCCTTATGATCCTCCAATTTGATTCTTTCATCGATTCAAGTCATTCTACAATGTGTTTGACATATGAAAACTTTATTCTGTCTTTTTAGCATTTTGTCCTAGTTTTATTGAGGGTCTAAACAGTAAAATTTCAAAAAGATTTTGTTCCTGTAACGGATGTAGTGAGTATTGAGTTAAAAGGCTGCTGTTAATTTAAAGTTCCTTTTGATAATTTGTCACTTTAGATATGACGGTTACGAAAAGACATATGATGGATCACGTGCATTATAAATGCATGGGTGAAATATATCGTGAACTATATTGATCATAGCTTCTCGAACGAACACCTTGATCCACAATTTAATTATTTGGTTGTGAAAACAAGCTCGCCCTGTTAGATGAAGAAGCTAAGTTTGTTTCTTCAATTTCTTCCACTCTTTTTGAGACTGAGGTAGCTAGGACGAATTTAACGCTTTGATGTGGTGGAATCAGAAATATGAGAGAATGAATTACGCTTTGCTTTTATCACCCCAATAACTAAACAACTAATATAAGTGAACTATATGTATGATGTGCATATGCAACTTTCAAGACTCATAGGTTAGCTTGCACATGTAATGAAAGTATGAAACGATATTACGATTCATACTATAATCTCTCTTATTAGGATAATAAATTGGCGGTATTAACGATATGAAGGCGACATGTTGGTTATCTTTACCAACAACAACAAAAGCTAGGTTGGTTATGATCGATGAAATATTTCACAGATTTTAATCTAAGGTGAATGATCAA